GACGCCCCTTTTAAAAAAAAAAAAAACTTGTTTTATCATGTATTCAAATCTTTTTTTACCAGAACAAAAAAGAAACCAAAAGCTTCAAAACTTGATATGACACAAGAATCCACAAATTGACTCTAACCTGATGACGTCTGTTACGTAATTTATTTTTTTACCAGAAGGTTGGATCATTGATTGACAGTTGCGAAACATGACGTACGAGTGCCCCCCCCCCCCCCCCCCCCCCGTCCCCCCACCGAACCACACCCTCCCCCAGCTGAGATAATTTACCGTGTTTTGTTCCGACATTTATTTGTCGGCACCAGCGGATCTCAACCCGGTAACAACATAGCGTGCAGCGCATCTCGCGATAACATAAAAATAAGACGTCTCCACTCCGGCCACGACAATTGTGTCGTTAGCTTGTACATGACGCGAGACATCGCGTGCTGGACTACAGCCGGCTAGAGCCACACAAATTGTCCGGGCGATCTCGCATGAAGGGGGATAATACCTTGATGCAGGCAACAATCGGAGAACCTTGGCGAGATTTATATCTATGTTTAGACACTGATTACTCCACTGCACGGCCAAACGGATCGTTGTTTCTCTCTCGGGGCGGGGAGGGTGGGGACAACGTGCGCGGACGGTCTAGAAACAAGAAGTAATGGTGTTGGTTTAAAAAAAAATAGTCGATTTGACTTGCATCAAACAGCTCTTGGCATCTGACATTTGACGATGGCTAATCTCTGCATGATGTTATAATGGTCGACAATTTGTTTGGGGCGGTAGGGAGTGGGCCCAGAATAGAAAATGACGGAAGAGGGGGGGGGGGGGGGTGCATCGTCAACTGCGCAGGCGCGTGTTTATTTATAACTCACACCACCATCACCAACACCCCTCTCCTTTAAGTAAAATTCAATTTAAAAAATTTGCAAACGCAGCTTGGTATGACATCACAACCATCATTGGCGTCTACGTTCGATTTCCAGATCAATGTTAAAGTATATTTTAGGTAACTAATGACTAAAAATAGAATTCGTTCACGCGATACCTAAACTTACAGTCAGCCAAAACTAAAAGCATGGGATAGTAAACCACCAATAAAAAGAAATATCCTCTAGCCCCTATCCTCTAAATGTCACTAACTGTTTTTGAGGGTGCATGCTACAGATAAATTCAGCCAATTACGTAGTTATCGGGGTATAGCGCCAACAGTAAATAACACGACGTACACCTGGTGTTCGCTACGAACTCGCAAACAATAAATTACCATCACGTGATTATGCTTTATATAACTGAAAAATAAATTACCATCACGTGATTATGCTTTATATAACTGAAAAATAAATCTCCATCACGGGATGGTGCTTTATATAACTCAAAAATAAATTACCATCACGTGATTATGCTTTATATAACTCAAAAATAAAGTTCCATCAGTGATCTAAACCCTAATACTATACTAAATCTACTCAAGCGATAAAACCAAAACCAACAGGTGGATTTGATACTTATGCTGTATATGGTGTCGGTTACTTTCGAATTTTTCTTACCAGTAATACTAGAGTCTAGATCTAGATGTTTTTCAACTGTTCTATATAGAAGAAGAACTGTGGAATAAGAAATAGAAATCTAATCTAAGATGGTGTTTTATAACATACATCATCTACCCCAAATAACACACTGTAACAAAAAATTAACCACCCACCTAGCCTCTCGTGTTATATAATGTATGCGATACATTAATGCTAGGCTTTGATGACAACAAATGATGGGTACTGATAACAATCAAACGCTGGCCATTGATAACAACAGTAACGAATGTTAGACATTGAAAGTGGCGTAGACAAGGATGATGTTAAGGGGGTTGTCACGTTACGTACAGCAGCTGGCGACGGTAGGGGGGGGGGGGTCGTGTCACTTGAAGCTTACAATATCAAAATTTCAAATCCTTACGTAACGTGTGTTTAAGTGTATGTGTGTGTGGGGGGGGGGGTGTATATGTGCGAGGAGGAAAAATTGACCCCCTCCCAATCCCCCACCCCCACAAGACAAACATCCTACCTACGCCACTGGACATTGATAACCACTAATGGCAAATAAAGAGCATAACCAACTCAGCAGTGAGTCGCTGGTCTTTGGCTGGGGATTATGATCGATCCCTCGGGCAATGTTAGCTCACAATTGCTAGTCATGAGGGGTGGGGGGGGGGGGGGGGGGGCTAGAAACGTTTCCGTTACAATGTATCAGGCGGCTGCTGCGCTTCTGTAATTTAGATCCTAACCACAACATGCGGGTGTTAGCCTAACCCTAACCTTAACCCAGCGATCGAAAGCTGAGAAAAGTATCGCTATGCTGGGCGAGTTACCAAGGGCACCGGTCTGTGAAGGGGAGGTAATTTTGTTTTAATTTAATCGGTAACCCAGAGAGACGTCAGTCCATAAAGATTAAGCCATTTAAACCCAAGTTTTTAAAAAAAAAATGTTTTGTGTTTTGAAATGCGCTCGATCGTGAGAAGAAATAATAAAAGGAATCAACTTTATTTGTAAAGTTTATAACACAACGTTGATAATATGACAGCAACTAGATTATACAGAAAGGGAGAGAACTCTATGGTAGGAATCGGTTTTTGTGTTCAAATTTTAAGCTCTATGGGTAGCCCTATATCCAGGGGTGAAATGGCCGTGCCCTAGCGGCCCGGGTATAGATTAAAGCGATCCCCACCTGGCTTAAAATTGCATCGTGTCATTTTTTTTAAATCTAAGACTGAGGACTGATGTCTACAAAATTCACGGGGCACTTTTCAAATTGAAATACACAACAATAACAAAACGACAAAATTAATAGGGATTTTTTTTTTAAATCAAAGCACTAATTGCACATGGTCCATTACATCACCGATCCTAGCGGCCCACACCAGAAGTTCCCTGGTGACCCGGCGGTCCAGCCCACCACAAGTAATACCTAATATAGTATAGATCTAGATCTCTAGATCTAATTGGCAGGTATGTAGAATCTAGCAGGCATACGGTTTGAACTAACCCTTTTAAATGTGTTTCTATTTATTGATGCCCCGCAATTAACGATTTTGATGTTTAAATTTAAAAACAAAAATCCCATCCTCTATCTGATTTGATAAGAGCACTTCAAACAGGTTAAAAGCCATTTGTTGCTAAGCGTAGTGACATAATGTTTAATTTGGCCGTTTTCAAAATGTCTGAATATCACGTGACTTTGCTTGCACAGATAAAAGCCGGCTATTTTTCCGAGCAATATTTGACGAAACTTTTTAAACCATACCTCCTGGCTTCTAACCCCGTCAGCAAACGTTTGTGGAACAAATAACCATTGATTATCGCCCTTCTATGCTAGCGTTGTTTTGCCAAGTCCTGCTACTCGCCTAGTCACGATTAGGGCGGCAAAAAAAAATACTGATCTAACGGTGTTGATAAACCATTTATCTCCCGTTACAAAAGATCGCATCCAAACACCGCTAAATCGATCCGGAGAGGAATTCACAAAGCCCGACTGATATAATTTTAGGGGGGTCTAAATTGATGTAAACACATCGCACTGTTAATGCAACTCCTCTTTGTATGGTGGGTTGTAATTATTTTCTCTTATTCCCTCTCAGGTAGGCTATTTGTTTGGCGCTAAACAGAATGTCACCTGAAAAAATCCACCCGTCGGGTTACGTAAACGTTAGACTAGAAAAAAAATGTAAAGGTGTTGAGAATTAATTTCATTCTGTGAACATTTTTTTGTTTATACAATGATTAAAGTAGATTAGATGATACATCAAAGCAATTGTTTTAAGTTTATTAACTCTGTAACTGTTGAAACTGATGAGTAGGCTTGGACTAGCTAGAGTTTTGTAAATGTGCGTCATCGTAACCATAGCAGCACACTAAAAAACCCAGTAAGATGTGATAGTGCAGGTTTCGAACTTTACATTTAAAAATAATTTGCCTATGAATTTTGAGATAGGCTATTAACATAACTTCATTATAAAAAAAAATAAAAAAATATTTTAAATGTTCCGTAGATAAAAATGCTATTTAAAACATCCGTAGATCTACGTAGACATCTGGGGTTTTTTCTTTGGCTAACATGTGGGTGAAAGATGGAACGTAAAACCTCCAGGGCTAACTTTTTTTTTTTATAGATCTAGATCTAGTTCTCAATTGGCTGCAAAATTTCTTTTCTTAAAAAGATCGCTGGTAAAATGTATCGAAATGTTTACAGGTAGGCCTATCACTCAGTCTAAACCTAGCAACCCTTAGCCTAATAAAATAATGGGTGTATTATCCTATTATCCAGAGAGTTTCTTCCAGGCATCTTTTCGGGGGGGGGGGGGGGGGGGGGTATCAGTTTTAGAACGGGTTTACGACCGTTTACGGAATGTTTTTCCTATTGACAGCCAATCACTGGCGAATGTTCAAACAGCTGTTGATAATTGCCTGCACCCCCCCCCCCCCCCCCCCCAAACAATGACTTAATAAAGTGAAATAGTTAACGTGACTTTAGTCAATCTTTAACAGGCCCACAGGTAAATAAAAAAATATAGTCTATAGGCCTACTCTATAGTCTATAATGAGTCTACAGCCAACTTCAAAATGTAAATTTTTTTTTTTTTAAAGAAAAACATGGTTGGCTTGACATCCACAGTTTATTAATCAGTGAAAGAATTAAACTTGCTGAGAAAAAATTCAAATGAAAGTTTGTATATTTCCTCATACATTTGACTATGATTTGACCCCCCCCCCCCACCCCCATCATGAGGGTGCACATGGCCACAGTTTATTTTTTATTTTTAATGAAATCTAGTGGCTTAACTCAATTGGCCTTTAGCTTACAAAATGGAAACTTAATTTGTTTAGGACCTACTTTCAATTATTTTTTTTGGACACAGATCTATGTTTCATTTCAACCCTACTACTCCTTTTTAATCTTGAAACAATCACATAGACCTATGATGATCTAAATAAAAGATTTTCTTTTGTCTTTTGCAGATCTTCATAGCGGCCTTCTCAATCAGCAAAGGCGACCCTTTCCGCCTGGTCTATGGTACTGACAGCTTTGGTAACACCTGCGATGAAGACAACTCCGACAGAGCCATAGCAGGAGTCAAATTCTCCGGACGTAACCTCAAAGGCAGGCCGTAAGTAATATTTGCATTGTGTGTTTTTGATGGCAGTTTTTTTCTGATCAAGTGCTACAAGATTTCATTAAAGAGCTCTAGGTAATAGCTTCTTATGATTATTCCCCTGTTAACAAAGTCAGACAAAGGACTCCTCTAAAAATAGTAAATAGGTTGTTAGTAAAATAATAGGCCTATTAGGTTTAGTGTTAAGGTCAGAATTAGGGTTAGGGTTATGTTAAATTTTGGGTTGAGCAAGATGTTTAGCATTGAAACTATTAAGTTTTTGTCAGAGCTATAGTTTACTACCAGTAATTTAACACCCCTTTTTTCAGAAGATTCCAATTGTGGCATTATTAGACACTGGTATCATATACTTCTTCTTGTTTTCCTATCTAGTCTTTCTAATAATCCTATGCTATGAGCGTAATAGATATTGTTTATACATTTCTTGCTTAAATACACTACCAATATTCTTTAAAAAAATTAAAACCAATTGTTTACTTTGTTATAATGTCAAAAAATATTTTTAACTAGTTCTGTATACATTTTTGAACCTTGAACTACAAAAAAACTTTTAGGACATGTAAAACTGTTTCTTGAAAAAATAAATTTCCCACCATAAGAAAAGTACACCAGACCTACTGCGCAGGTCAGGGGTTTAAACAGATGTGGCACTGGAATTTCCCAGTTGATTAGGGGAAGTCAAACCAGAGCATGGCATTCATGTGACTGACTTGCTGTGAAATTGTTCACATGTTTTTGTCTCTGGCACATTTTCACACATTTTACAGCTGTCAAGCTTAGGTTGGTAAATGTTAGTGAATGTTACAAAGTTATATCTGTGTAGCTGAATAACCTGTGATGGGTTGTTGGAAAATGTTGAGTAAAAATGTTCAGTGTTTAATAGTTCCACACCCTAAGTGGACTTTGGTTTTGCTGCCAGTTTATATTGGCAATATATATTCAGATCTAGATCTATCCTATATGGAAAACTCTTGACTTTGCAAACACTTCTCCCCAGCCACCATTTATATGTTTATACAGAACAAATTTGCCCTTTAGGACACACTGCCCTGTCTACCCACACAAGCTTGATGCTGCTCCCTGATAGAACTTTTAGATCACAAAAATAATGTCCTTGAGTAATGTAGCTCAATTGCCTATCTATAACCGTAAAACTTTCTTATGGTGATTCTCAATACCATCTATATATCTCATTGTTTGGGTTAAGGTTAAGTTTTAAAGACATGACTTATTTTACATAGTTCATTTTTTTTTTTTTTTTTTTTATTGGCAATCATCTCTAATAAACTTAAATAAACAGTTTTGTTTTTCAGTTGAGATCTTTGATATTTTTTATTACAATCTTTATTCAGCAATTGATAAGATCTAGTTACAAGTAAACAGATTTAGGTTTTTTAGTAATAAAAGCATGTATACCTAGTTGTAGTTAAAAACAAATCTCATTTAAACTTCTTGTCTGACATTTCTTATCTCCCTGTAATAAATTTTTTTCCAGGATGTTGTAGCTGTAGAAGGCATTAACTCCTGTTAACAATGTTCTCTTGATGTTTTAACAGGCATTTGTTCTTCATGAACATTGAGGAAATAGACTCCTCCATGAGGATCTGCGTAAACAAGTGTCCTGATATTGATCTGGAAAAGCCCATGAATGTGTATGAATTCTCCCAACAGACTGGGTCCCTTTTATGTCGTTATGACATTGACTTAACTGCTTACCTGTACATCAACAGCAGCCTCCATGGGCCGTGCCCCGTTCTACCTGTGAGAAAAAGGTAAGGGAAATGCTATTCCCACAGGATTGAAAAATTCAGCTCGGCTTTCATTTCATTACTAGCCTTCACAAAAACGTTTTACTTTAGATAATTTTTGTTGGTTTAGATTTCATGCAATGCTTTTATTTTTTTCTAGCATGTTTGTATTTTTACAAGTTTAGAGTTAACAGTCAAAAAAGTTTTCAGTATTTGTTTCCTTTTTAATTGTAATCTTAGGCTTATAAAAATATTATTCAATATTTTTACCATCTAAAAATAACAATTTATTTTTCACTATCCCCTTCTGGAAACAAAAATTCAAAAGGCACTATGACAATTCAGAGTTTTGAAATTCACTTGTTGAGAATATGTGAATGATTGATTAGATTTCTCAAAAATTCTGATGGTTTGTCAATATAAAAGAAAACAGTGAGTATGTTTTTGTTTTTTTAGTGAATCCTTGATGAATCACTGCATCCCTCGAGACATGCCAAACATTAAAGGCTGGCGTGAAAAAAACATAGACAACAACATCATTGCTCACATCAACAAGAGCAACATCTTCCAGATTGTTCTTAGAGACCTATACGCCAGCTGGAATATTGTCATCGCACTATGTTTTGTGGCTGTTGGTAAGTGAGCTTTTGGTTGGAATTGTTAAAAAAAAAATCTCAGGTTTTATTTGTTGGTACAATCCAGGCTACTGGTATCTGAGTTCATTGCTTTTGAAATATATATCAGATCATATGGCTAGTCCATTGCTTAATTTTTCCTTGAGTGTGTGGAACTAGAAAGGGGGGGGGAACAAAGGTTCTGGATTTTTTTTTTTTACATTCATAGTACAGTTTTTTCACTGAGCCACCCCCTTTCACCCCCCTTCACCTCCCCCACCCCGTGTGTCCCAGCTTTAAATCACAATTTTTTAAGTTAGTAATTTATAACTAAATTATCTAATTGCTTCATTATTACATGTTATTTTGTTATATTTTCTAAAAAGCTGTTTAAATAGGTTTTGGAACTATATTATTTCAAAATGAACAGTTGAAAATTTTTTTTTGCAAATGTTCCAATATTTTGGTACCATTATCAGCTTTTTCCCCTTAAGTCTGTGTTTTTTTTCTAACACTAAGTCAGTCCCTGAGCTAATATAGTCATGCCAAGATGTCTTTGAAAAAAAAAAACACATAAGATTGTGTCCACGTCTGGTGGATCAATACGGGCCTCATTGATCAGAAGAGCCTCAAGGTTTCTCAGAGTAAAACCATCAGACAATGTAACTTCAGCGGCTCAGGAATCATCCTGGTTTAATCAAGACTTTGATCTTGTCAGATATTTGTACTGATTAGACTTTGGTTCTGCTAGATGGGGCCTGATGTTTGTTTTATGGTGCTCTTCTTTGCTTATGATGATGGTCTTAATGATGGATTATGGATACCTACTGGCTACAATGATTCTATTAATTTTATGTAGGGTGTATTCTTTGAATCTCTTATATTTACATATATGTATAGGCTAATATATAATAAGACCTAAATAATTATATACATATATACATACACAAAAGAGTCTGTTAGAGATGTAGGAATCATTGTACAAACCTAGAAACTTAAAATGAAATGATCGTCAAGACTTATCACATTTAACATCATACTAATACTATGCAGTTTCCACATTGCAGATATTTAGCACTAAGTTTTTGAATTGAATAGAAGCCATTATTTTTTGTATTTTTTTTTAAATGCATCAAGCTTTTAGCGCTAAGGCAAATTTTTATGTCTAATTTTATTTCTTAATTAAATTTGAACATAAAACAATGAAAACATTTTTAACAAAAATAAATAACATAATTTTATTCAGAGTTGTAATTAACTTATAGATTTAATAATATTAATCAGTTGTGGTTTTTTTTTCGTGTGTTCCGATAGAGGTTTGGTTATGTTAAGAATTAGGATATGTTTTAGGTTGGATTTTTTTGGAGTGGCTTAGTCAGGGCCTGGTTTTAAGGTAGTGATAGATATTCAGTTTAAAGATAGTGATACACATTCAGTTTTAAGGTAGTGATAGATATTCAGTTTAAAGATAGTGATACACATTCAGTTTTAAGGTAGTGATAGATATTCAGTTTAAAGATAGTGATACACATTCAATTTTAAGGTAGTGATAGATATTCAGTTTAAAGATAGTGATACACATTCAGTTTAAAGATAGTGATAGATATTTGGTTCAAAGATAGTGATAGATATTCTTGATATCAGGTTATATCTGTCTGATATAAAATTTATTTGTGCCTGATGCTGCATGATGGTTAAATGCCAAAACCTTTTTTATTCCATTCATCTGGATATCGGAGTTAAGCATTCATTAATATTTTTTTCCTCTTTACAATAATTTAAAATGGTTTTTAAAGAACTCTTAATAATGATCTAGCTTTTAACCACACTCAAGAGAAGATAACTTACATTTTTAAAAATGAAATCTTATTGGGGAATAATTTTGTTTAGAATATAAATTCCCAAGATAGCTGCTCTGGAGTAATATAATTATTTAGTGTTGTGTAAGCATGCCACATGACTAGTATTGATGGCTAACTATTATTAAAAATGTCAAACTGAGATAGAGTGGGTGAAAAACATGAAATATTTTAATTCTAGCTTGTTTTGATCTTCTTTTTTTTTGATGTTTTTAAATTATACAAAAGAAAATATTGTGATATTGATAATGGGTGAGGTTTTTTTTTTCAATCAAATCCTTACAGACTACTGCATAATCTCGGCTAAGCTGGATTATATAGTTCAAGGAGTGCTAGATTATGTTTAGAAAATAAAAAAAGTTTTGATGGAACAAATCATATAAATAAATATTGCAACCACGGTGGGGAATCCATTTGATGAATTAGAAACAATTTTAGAAGTGGTTTTTGTTGAGCTAGCTCAAACAGGCTAAATCCCACCATAGAATTGGGTTTTTACTTGTGAGTTGGTTTTTTATGCATGGATTAATGTCATTGTTGGTTCAGATAATGGGCAGATCACTGTGGTTACATTTAAAATAGTTTTTTTTTCTGCAAACCCTGTACATGTAGGAAGAGAAAGTTTTTTAAATTAATCCAATTCTTTGCTAGCATTAAGTTATTACATGGCTGCTAACCCCAGCTCTTTCAGCAATAACTCTGGCCACTAACTTTTTTGGGTTATCCTAGGTTCTTGATATTGATATGTAAATATTTTTTGAGAGAAATTTAAGCAAACCTATGTGATCAACTTTGATTTAAACAAAATGGCAAAATATCTCACTTATAATTTTAAAAGTAAAGTACACCAAGACATCTTAAAAGTAATGGAACATAATTAGATCTAACTGTTAATGATTTAGTCATCCAAGTTTTGTATTAAAAATGTCACCAATAAACAAAGAAGCTCATTATTTACGATGACAGGCAAGCATTTTGTTAAAAATACAATCTCAACCGTACACTTCAGCTTGTCGAGCCGAATGTAAAGAAAAGAAATTTTCCTCAACTTTACATTCTGCCATTTCACAGCTTGTACTTTTTCTGTACACCTGTCACGATTATAATATATTTATATCTACTTGCAAAAACATCCTACGTAGTTAAAATCAATTTTGTCTGCCACCACGCTTTAAAGACTAAGAATGATTCGCTGTAGAAATGTACTCCTAGTTGGAAGACTTGTGCTACACACACTGACCATAGAATTAGAGCAGTCTGAAAACATCAGCACCAGGGCTTGAATAATTCAATGATGTTAATACATTTTCTTCCCCAGCTTTCTCTGTTTTAATGGTGCTGCTTATCCGGTTCCTGGCCTCTCTGGTGGTGTGGCTCATTGTGGCCCTGGCTGTGCTGGCTGGCATGGGTAAGTGGTCATTACAGATGGCTGGCTTTAGTAGAGTTTGATCTGGGCTCAAAGGTGTCATTGGGATTTAAATAATAATACTTCTAGCGTGGCTAGTGTTTAAACTCTTTAATCTGTCAAGCATGGGTAAAGTTTCGGAATCATTGTCTAATTTTAATACGTAAAAGAATCAATAGGATATAAGTAAATCTAAATAATTTTCTCGAAGTTTTTTTTTGCAGTAGTTGATTTTTATCTTAGAACTAGAACCCTGTCCGTCCTACTACATAGCAATACTGGATTTTATAGTTTTCTTCTAATTGTAATATAATGGATTACTTGTTCAAATGGAATAATAATAATTATTATTGAGTTCTATCAACCTAATAAAAGGTCTTGTTGTACATCATTATATACCTCCAGTTTGAAAAACTGTCTTTATTAATTATAGCAAGAGAAGTATGAATTTTGTTAAATAGCAATTTAATTTGAAGAGAACTCTAAATCTAGTAAAGAACCTGTTGTATGTCGCTATGTCAGTACTGTCAAATTGATGTAGGCCTACAGGATTTTAAAAGTTTATTTTTTCTAAAGCATTGTTTAAGATCTACTTTCATAATTAGTCTGGTAATAGGATTAATTTTTTGTAACATTAGCTGTCTTCAATGAGATTTAACATGCAAAAACCTGACACGTTTATTTTTTATTAAAAGCTGAAATTGTTATCATGTAAAATGATACACATGATGTATATTTTATGTAATGTGTATGTCATTCAAACAACTCTCATAACACAGGCCACTCATGTAACATAATACCGAAGAAAAAAAATTTTCTAATTAAAAATTAATTAATAAAAAATCTATTTGTTCTGAGATTTGATCCTAATGGGAATAAATTGATAGCCCCTACCACAATAAAGTATCCTGCCTAACTCTCAGTACGCCACTAATGACGACTGACATTAAAAGGTTTTAGTTTTAATACAAGTTGACATTTTATAACGAATTCTAGAAGTTAACATTTTATTAATTATACAAAAATGGTAAAAAGTATCCAAATTATTAAAGACTAACATGTTATTAATAACATAGATTGTAAGGGTAAAGCTTACAATAAAGACAAACATAATCTACATCCAAAACCAACCTTGTATTAAGAAAGTTTTTATTGATTTATTTTATCTCAGTGGGCACTGCCTTCACCTGGTGGACTTTTATCAGCAATAAGAATAAGCTGGACCGCGAGGAACGTCTCAAGATTCCTCTGTTGGATGTTGACGTCAACAGTGAAAAAGCTTTCATGTGTTTCTCTGTTGTGGCAACTGCTCTAACTGTGAGTTTGTTTTAATACCTTCAAAATTTTTACTTTAAGTGTGACACTTTAATAGTTCTAGGATGGGTTTGTAAGCTGAAATGAATGAACATAAAAATAATGATAGGCTGTGTAGGTTGTTTTTTTTTTACAACTTTTTAAGGAAGTTTAAAAAATAACTTTTCTTACTGAAGCCAAACAATAATGTGAATTTTAATTACTTGTTACAATATTTGAGACTGCAATTAGTTACTGATATAAATAAATAAATCTTGTATTCAGGTGATCCTGACTCTAATTTTGTTGGCCATGCGTAAGAGGATCCACTTCGTGGTGACATTGTTCCAAGAGGCCGGAGCCTGTGTCTCAGCCATGCCACTGCTGCTCATACAACCCCTGTGGACGTTTCTGCTTCTGCTCATGTTCTTTGTCTACTGGGTCACGGTGCTGGCATTCATCTCCACAGCTGGTAAGTAGCTGGTGACTGGTCACTCTACAGCTGGAGGGGTCGTTTTATAGTTGGTGTGTGGTCATAATGAGTTGATAAATTTAAATGGGAAATATATTTGACAAAATGGTGGCCTGTAAAATAGAACATCTATATATAAGCATGCCAAATAGGGAAGGTAAAGTAAAATTGCACTTTAAGATCCTAAGTATCCATAGGGCAGGTAAAGTAGAGTTCACGTTTCTTGACCTTGGCATATGAAGGGATAGTGTAATGAGCACTATGCCCAGCTGCATTTACTTTCCCCAACATCAGTCAGGTATCCATCAAAGCTGGGTGGACTCAGGTACATCCCACAGTCCTGAGATCTGAACTCGAGACCATTGAGCTAGTATCTGAACGCTCTACCATTCGACTATACCGTCCCCCAATAGTGAAGGTTCACAAGTAAATATCTCCAAAAAAAATTGTTGAGTCAGATGAATCACTTTTTTTGTCAATTAAAATATCAGGATGAGATGAACCAATGAAATAAGTTTAAATGTCCTCTTTTGTTCATAGAAACACCAGTTGTAACAGAACACAGCTATGTTGTCTTCAAAGAACATGAGACAGTGACCTACTTTTGGTGGTACCATCTAGTGGGGCTCTTCTGGGTCAGCGAGTACATTATGGCTTGCCAGTCTTTTGTGGTTTCCGGAGCTGTTGCACGCTGGTACTTTACTAGGTGAGTAGGTGCTTGTAGAAATCTGTGTGGTACAGTCACATAATCTAAAGGTAGCATTGACTTTGGATTTGTTTAAGATTTGTGTCTAACTGATCTGTCACATATGTAAATAAATAGACACAATATAAGCATACAGATCAGTGAAATTTGAAAATACAATTAAAATAGATTAGTTTTGAAAAAGCTAGTGTTTCTACATTATAGAATTGCAATGTTATTTTTTTCAAGCTATTATTGCAAAATCATTGCCCCTTCCTTTGCGTAGAGTAACTTTATTTTCTTAAATGCCTGTTTCTAATGAACTTTTTAAATTGTTGTTTTTTCAGAGACAAAAGCCAGTTGGGATTTCCCATCATTGGCAACATTGGCAGATTGATTGTGTTTCACCAAGGGTCTGTTGCATTTGGAGCTTTGGTCCTGACGTTGGTGAAAATACCCAGGATGATTCTCATGTTTTTACACAAAAAGTAAGTTTCCTACTTGACTTGGAGCTGGGTAGAGATCTACTTATAACTTAGTTTGTTAAATACTTAGTCCCTTGTCAGGCTGTTGGGTAATTTTTTTATACATTTACACATTGTAAATGGGAAGGGAAAAGGTTCAAGCACAATAACCTGGTTATATCTTAACTCAATTACGTGGGTTGTATAAGATATCTGATCCTACTGTTAATTTTTGTCCTACATTGAAATTAAAAACTGTGCATTGTATTAATATTTTCCAAAACAGAAATAGACTTCAATTTTTTATTGACTTTAAACTGTGTATAAAATGTAATTTTTATATTTTAATTAAATGTATCCATTATTATACATGTGAATAATTTGTACTTAAATGACGTAATTCTGTTCTCACAGGTTGGTCAACTCTGACAACCAGTGCAGCAGTGGTTGCATTAAATGTTGCTGTTGCTGCTGTTGTGTAGAAAAGTGCCTGCGCTACCTCAACGCTTATGCATATACAATAGTTGGTAAGTGTATGGTCTTACTCCTTTTTTTTTCAGAATAGGATAGTTGCCTAGCACGTACAACGTAAAATATAACTGACTTTTTTTCTCTAACAACTTGAAATTTTTTTTTTACTTAACAGCTGTCAGTGGTAAAAATTTATGCACATCAGCCAGAAAGGTGAGTTGATTCACTTTATCCTAATAAATTGTTCATTTTTTCTCGGGCAGATGAGGCTCATTAGCTGGGGACAGCCACTCTTCTAGGAGAGACAACTCCAAAATTAAACAACTGCTGCCTTGTAGTTTGTTCTTGCTTCGACAAAGGCTATGGAAGCAAATCCATAAAAGAAAAGCAGGCTGAAATCGGAGTCAATGGCCTCAATGGCGCATAACCAGTTGACACGTAACGCTTAATTGTGTTGGAGGTGTGGTCGAGTCGGCAAAAAGCTCATGGTTGATAAATTCGAAGAAAGTCTCGAGTTCGAACCCACTGGCAGATAAATCTCGATCCCCTTCAACACAAATAATTAAGAACAAAGAAGAAGAAAGAAGAGTTCATTTTTTACTTGCTTTCATTAAACCCCTTTAAGGGTTTGTTTTGTTTTGGTATCAGATATAGTGTTATGATTTGAGTCTATACTAGCATCTGAGTTATGGACAAGATTAAGTTCAGGGTTAGGGTACTAATACCAGCAAACATCTGCTCTATTTCATCCTACAACACATTAATAAGCACCAATTTATGGTGCCTTGTGCTAATCAAGTGAGATGCACATAGAAAAATGAGACTGCTGATGCAGCCGAAGATGTTGTGTGGATGACAACTTTGTACTCTCTCCTGCAGGGCTACTATGTGCTGGCAGGGAATGCTTTCAGAGTGACAGCCATGAACAGCATTGGTGAATTTGTTCTGCTGCTCAGTAAACTTGCAGTCATGGCAGCTACAACTTCTGTGGGGGTCATCTGGTTCAAGGTCAGTACCTGCCCTCACTGTTGAGCTACTGGTGATATTTTGACAGATTTATTTCTAATTATTTTATTTTTTTAATTTCAAATTTCGTTTGTTTTTATATCAGAAAAATAGCAATAAAAGAAAATGTTCAACACATTTTTAAAATAAATATTTAGCCTTAAAAAGTAAAAAAAATGCAAGTTAAAATTTTCTTTAAAAAAAAAATTAAAATGTGAATAAAAAAAAATGAAACTGAAAATCTTGTTAATGTAATAGAATGAGCTCTTGTTTTTGGTGCTCAATTAAATTTATCAAGAATTCTTTTTTTCTCTTTTTCAGAGTCAGGAAGATCTTCATTTCTATGCTGTTCCTGTTCTTCTAGTGGCAATATTTTCATATTTCATTGCTCACTGCTTCCTCTCAGTTTATGAGGTAATTTTATCATTGTGACGCACAATTAACTTAATTTGTTTCAAATTAAAATTGTAATTTAAATTATGTTTTTTAAATTCAAGGCTTGACTGTGATTCAAATAAGATATCTAGAATCAAGTTATATTTTAAATTATAAATACTATAAATCACTGATAATGCAAAATTTTAGTATTTTCTGTTGTTTTTTTTTTAAAAGTATCAGGTCTAACCTAGCTTTCAGGTTTGAAGGTCAGTGGTAGATGAAGTAGAGTTTATCTATTTCATATGAAATGACTTTGTGGTCAACAATAAACCCTGCTGTTTTACTTTCCCTGGCCTGAGTAGCCTACCTATATCAAAGCTAGGATGTCCTATAGACTCAAACTCATAACCCGTGTTGAGACTTAAGGATTAGCAATCATATGCTTGATTACCTGATCACCTTTAAAAAAAAAACCACAGAAAATTAGATCCAATATGATGAAATATCTAGTTAGCATTTTAAAATTTTCATTTCACGGTTCTACTTTGAAAAAGGGGAGACTACTACCTATGTTTAATTTTGTAAAAATATTTTTTTAACTGTTCATATTCCTTTCCCCAGATGGTTATTGATGCCTTGTTGCTGTGTTTCTATGAAGATCGGGACTTAAATGATGGATCATTAGATCGCCCATACTTTGGCAGCAAAAATTTTATGGTTAGTTACATTATTTTACTCATTGCTTTGAAAGATAGTTTTAACAGGTTGAGGAAAATTAATTTTAAAATTATGAATCGGTTAAGTTTTCCTTAAGTTTTAAAAATGGGAGGAAATGAAAAGATTTACATTAGATTTTTAATTCTAAATATTGTGGCTTAAAGTTTGTCGGGAATAAAAAAAATTAAAGTTTGCCTGTGTTATGGGAATAAAAAGGTTAAACCTTGCGTGGTTAGATGTAATGAAAAAGGTTTAATTTTGCTTGTATTGATGTAATGAAAAAGGTTTTATTTTGCTTATACTGATGTAATGAAAAAGGTTCAACCTTGCTTATATTGATGTAATGAAAAAGGTTAAACCTTGCTTATATTGATGTAATGAAAAAGGTTAAACCTTGCTTATATTGATGTAATGAAAAAGGTTCAACCTTGCTTATATTGATGTAATGAAAAAGGTTAAACCTTGCTTATATTGATGTAATGAAAAAGGTTCAACCTTGCTTATATTGATGTAATGAAAAAGGTTAAACCTTGCTTATATTGATGTAATGAAAAAGGTTAAACCTTGCTTATATTGATGTAATGAAAAAGGTTAAAGTTTGCATGTATTGAAGTACTGTACAAGTACAGTTTTTTACCACCCTGAACCTTGTGTTGCAGGTACACCTGTCTGAGTGCAGTCAGGGCCTGAACACCTTGACAAAGAAAAGACAAGAATCAAATCTTGACCCACAGTCAGAACCAGCTGAAGTTTGACACGAGTCACACAGATGGGAGAGTACCTGAGTAGAGAGAGTGAAATAACAGTGGGGAGGGGGGGGGGGGTTGAATGTTATGACCAATGTGATCTGTACATCTGAGGCTGTTTATTAAATGATCTGACCAGTGAAATGTGATGTAAATGTGGGAATGTTCATTGAATTATCTGACCAATGAAATGTGATCTGAAACTTAAAACATGGGAGTGTTTTATTTGACTGTTTTGACCAACTAAATGTGATACTTTTATTGATGTATTTATTTATATTATAATAACTTTCAATCTTAAAACAAACTGAAGGTCTCATAACTTTTTTTGTAAGTTTAACACGATAAGTAAATAAAAAAAATTTAAACTTCTGTAATTAGGACAAGAAAAGCTAAAGTTTTTTAACATTTTGTTTACAACATATTTTTAATTTGAAACATTTTATTTTAAAGTTTTAGATTTTTATTTTCAGCTGTTTAGGTTAGTTAAATCAACAATGTGCTAAAAATAATGAATATAAATTTAACGATAATCATGTTTTGAGATGTGAAGGCTATTCACATTTCTATTATCAAATTCATTTAACCAGCTCAAATGAATGCTTGCCTTCTGCATTTGCTTTTCTACTAAAAAATAAATTGCTAAACTCAAAGTGTCCTTATAAGTATGATTGGCAAAATATGAATCTAGCACAGCAGAATCAAACAAAAATCTGTAATTCCTAGTTTTCCTTGATGGGTTGGGAAAAAAATTGTTTGCAACCACATTTATTTATGTCAGCTCATTTGAAGACTAGATTAAGAGATACAACATAACTAAAATAAAGAAAATTTAATAACATCAGTTGAGTGTGGAAAGTAACAATATTTCCTAATGCTGATCAGAAGCCGTTTTTTTTAAATTATGGTTAATAATCATTTAGCATACTTTACATTAATATAATTAACTAATGTCAGAATATTTATGTATAATTTCTAAATTGATTTAATTACACAAGTTAGCTTGACTTTACTTACCCATACTTCTAATACCTGAAAGTTTCTCGCACTGATTCTGCAGTTCTGCTTAAATCTCATGAAAAGTCTTAATGATGATTCAACCTGCCACAGCTTTATCATATGTTTAACGTTCTAGGCAATTTTAAGTAAGATTGCGTGAATGCTTTTAGCTGTTTCAAATGCAAAGTTTTTCCTATTACTGTAAATTAAATTTTTTGTCTGTGAATCTGAATATGATTTAGCATAAAGAATTATAGCACGTCTTGCATTGTTTTAAATGCAAAAAGCTTCTATTTTTCTATTATGTATCCATACATTATATAATTGAATATAAATATATATATATTTACATATGACTTAATTGCACATTGTGATCTGAACGTTTTTATTAGTTCCATCAATGTTTTTAATGTTTATAAAAATTGTAACTTCTATCAGAAAAATATATGGATTTTTTTTTTAGTAATCTGTAAGATCAAGAATAATTGTTTTTGTATTCTTCTAATTGTAAACTACAACACTGTAAGAACAGATCATTTTGAGTCTTATTTGTATGCACCAACAGCTCTGTGGCTGTATATGTTGTATTTATGTAGTCTAGTTACGAAGATTCTAGTCAGTGCACTATTTAAATATGCAGGCATATTTAATTAGCACACAAATGTTTTGTTAATTAAATTATTTTTACATTTGATTTGTATGATTTTGTTTACAAGATTGCACTTCTATAGGCAAGTGTGTGGAGATTCATCTCATCTACAGAAAGCTTGCCCATACAATATGAAATCATTTTATAACTTCAAGCATGTATTACGTTGTAGTAAATTTATACTCTTTTATTGCTAATATTTAAAGTCTTCTGACAACTGGTTTGTCAGGCAATGACAGATGTTTTTGTTTTATGGAACTCAAAACTATTTTATAAATGATTTCTTTAAATTCACTAGCTTTTTTTACTTAAGCAGATGTAACTTATTATATTTTATAGAATTCTATCTGGTCTGTTAAAATATAGCAACAAAAATATAGTTGTTTATATTTTACCAACTTCCGCATTAACAATTTATGCAAGTTATTGCAAAGTTATCTTTCGTTTAAAATTAATCTAAAAGATGTATGCATAATTATTACAGAACTTGATTTTTCTGTCTTTTAAACCAAAATTCATATTGTTGTATTGTTTAAAATCCTACAACTACTGCAATCCTTTTTAGTGAAAATCTTTTAATGCCAATGAAAGAAAATGAAAATAATATCTGTTTGTTTTTTTTGTTTTTAATTGATTCTGTTTTTCTAAGCAGAATACATTTTTAGTAAAATATAAGAATTATGCTAAATTATAAAAAAATTTAACCTACCTAATCTGCTTGAATTATCCAGAGACACTTTGCATTTTACTTTTTTTTTTAAAGAAAAAGTGGTGCATTGTTAAAAACCATTTCTAAAAGACAATATTCAGTTTCCAAACCATAGTCTAGCAGCTTTTAAATAGGTTGATAATGTAAAAGATTTTTTTTTTTTTTAGAATTTATTCTAATGCTAACAGCTTTTAAATTATATTTTAATCTGTTATTTGTTAAAGAGATTTGCTAAAATGAAGACAAGGATGCAGGTCACCATGTTTTTTTTAATGATAACTTTCATGTACAAAGTTCGGCATAGCAATAATGTGACTAAATTTAGAAGCAGCTTTATGTGTAACTTTCAGTGTCCTGTGCTAAATCTGCTAAGAGCGGAACGTTTCATTTGCATGGTTGAGAGATGTTGTTGCGGGACGTTTCTGTGTTGGACAAATTATCTAATTTTTAGTTGGTCAAAATAGAATTGAAAACAAGACACAATAGCTTACTGGTTTAACACTAACTTTAGTAAACATTATTTTCATATTAAAAATTATTCAAAAATGTATTGCTGTGTGTGTATTTTTGCAGTGTTTATCACTAAGCACAATTTTTAATATTTATCTTCTTTTCTGAACAGAATTATACTTCCTCTGGTTATAGCTGGTTAGGGTAGGGCGTACAAACTTCATCTCTCTTCAGTGCCATGCTAAATTTTACCTTTTAAAGATATATAATATGTAAAAAATCAACTGAAATCTCAACAACTAAATTAAGAGGTGAAAAACATTTATTTTTTTCATGTTGAATGACAGGTACTGTTGTATAGTTATTGTGATTTTATTCTGTTGTGAAAGAAACATTTATTTTTACATTGCATTGAATGGCTGATGAAATACATCCTTGTAAATAATGTACAATATTCAGAAATTATTGATAACTGGTATGAGCAAATATTTTTTTTAAGTGCTGAAGCTACAGTGCAAATGTGGGGGGAGATTGCCAGAGATAAAGTTCTATGTAATTGTGAGGGAGAAAGTGTCAAAGATAGTGTGAATGTGAGGGAGGAAGTATCTCATAAAAGTGTTAAATGTAATTGTAAAGGAGCGTTGAAATTCACCTGGTGTTCACCTGATCTGTAGCTCAGGTATATAAATGCACGTGACTGATGTAAAAGACCTGTTTGATTTTTAAAAATCCATTGCTAGAACTAATATTCCATTGTGTGGTGTGTCAAAACTGTTTTAAATACTCGTGAGTCTGTTGATCAATATTTTTATAAATAAAAACTTTATGCATTCTATTGATATATTGAAGCTTTGCAAAACTTGTTTGTCATTTTCCATGTCACATGATCCTGAAATAAATCATTTCACAATTAATGGTTGGCTTTGCTTTTTGTTTTGATTTTTAAATTACCCTTTTAGTTTTGTTTTATTTTACATTAAGCGTACCTTTTCTAATCTGATGGTCAATAATGCAGATAAAGTTTCTATGGCCTTGAAATGTGAAGTGCAGTCAATTTCATGCCCAGCCTCCAACACCTTTAAGAGCTATAGATCTAGGTGGATTCAGGGACATCCCAAAGAATCCAGTCCAGGAACCAAATACAAGATTTCCACTGGTGCAGATTAACTATTCTACCTTCACTTAATGAACTAGTTGGTCTAGCTGGTTATGGGTTATCCACAGAGGTGTAGTGGGGGGGGGGGGGGGAGGGGGGGACGACATACCACGGGCGCCGATGTTAAGGGGCACCAAAATGGGTTGGAAAAAGAAATTGAAAGTTTGAGGGGGGGGGGGGGGGGGTTGCAAATCGAAGTTTGAGGGGGGGGGGTGCAAATCAAAAGTTTGAGGGGGGAGGGTGCAAATTGAAAGTTTGTCCCTGGGCGCCGGGAAGGGTTGCTATGCCTCTGGTTATCCATAACTAATGTCACTCTGTGGGATTGAGGAAGCAGCATATATTTGGAATTTATGAAAAAGACGTATATTTTTATTTTAATAATAAGCCTAGTTATCTTAAAGGTTGGGACTGCGATGTTATTTTTTTTTAGACAATGCATGAAGATAATATATTTTCTGTATAAATTCCATTTCGTTCTGTGGGGGGGGGGTAGACAGGCAGGCTTTTAACTGATGATTTAAAAAGATCATTAAGATAATTAACGTGTTTCATTCATTTTACTTTAAAAAAACACTATGTGTGCAACGTACCCCCCTCCGCCCCCCCCCACCATTATACCACATATCTAATTATGAATTATATAGGCCTACATCTATAAATAACGTATTAAATAATGCCTAACAAGGTTAAGGTAGACTTTTGGATAATATTAGTCTGATAGTATTAAATATTAAACCTTGAATAATATATTTGTATTATAAGTATAGTTGTATTAACACGTAACTGTAACGATTACAAGTATAAATTATTGAAAAGGAATTAACCGAAACTGTAATAGTAAATCAGGGGAAGTCACTCTTAAAGACAGCGTTTTCATTTTTGATTGGGCATTTTTATGGATCATTTTTGCGATTGGCTGTCAGAACATCCGGTGTGCGAATTTTAAAGTTAGGTTGGGTATAAAATAGCTTGTTCCGTTCTGCTCTGTCCATTTGCGCTCAGCGATCATTCGGGATTAGAGAAGTCACTTTTCACAAAGTACAACAATGACTGGAAGAGGTAAAGGCGGCAAAGCTAAGGCTAAAGGAAAGAGCCGTTCATCTCGCGCTGGACTGCAATTTCCAGTAGGCAGAATTCATCGACTGCTTCGCAAGGGTAATTATGCTGAAAGAGTCGGAGCTGGTGCACCAGTTTATCTTGCTGCAGTTTTGGAATACTTAGCTGCTGAAGTATTGGAGTTGGCGGGAAATGCTGCCAGAGACAACAAGAAGACAAGAATTATCCCTCGTCACCTTCAGCTTGCAATCAGAAACGACGAGGAGTTGAACAAATTGTTGTCTGGGGTCACCATTGCTCAAGGTGGTGTTCTTCCAAACATCCAAGCTGTTCTGTTGCCCAAGAAATCTGCAGCTGCAGGCGGCGCCACAACAAAGGCCAAGAAGTCTTCACAGTCTCAGGAGTTTTAAAAACCTATCAAGACTGCTTTGATTTTAACGGCCCTTTTTAGGGCCAACCCATCTTTCAGAGGGTTACCTTCAAGACTTATTTATAACCATACTATTTTTTTTTTAACTGCTCCTCAATTTTTCTCTGAACATTTATGTCATCTTATCTGTCATCTAGATCTATGGCTCCTTAATCATAATCTTTTGTCCTCAACAAAGTCAACTTATTGCTTTACTTTTACTTAAGATTAGTATGCTAGATCTTGAATCTAAGTAGATCTAGATACTAGAGATTTAAGCAGATCTGATTTAATCCTGAATCTAGCATGTTTTATAATTTTATAGGAATCTGGTTTCCATCTCTAGATCTAACTTTCAAGATTCTAGATCTAGACTACTTATACCCAGGACAAGATTTTCTAGATCTATGGTTGACCTGGACATCCAATATGCAAATCATTAGTTTTAAAGGCTGGATCTTTTTTGAAAAAGTTTTAGGTTTAGACAAGTAGGCCCTACAGTAGTAGAGTACATTGTAAATAAAGGCCCAAGTCTACATTTATATCTAAGTGAATAGGATTAGTTAGGGCTTCAGGCTTATTTTTCAACTTTAAGTCTCTTTATACCGTTAGAAGTTTTCTATTGGGTTGTTAGTCTTGTAATCTCCAATTTTATGGTAGGGTTATCATTAGCAAGCCATGTGTGTATTTAGTTAACTACCCCTTTTTAAAGATTACATTATTGGACACAGGTGTAAACATTCTCCCAAAAATAGTCCATAAAAATGAATTCACAGTAGAATTTTTTTTATCACGTTTGCTAATAGACCATAGATCTATGTGGCGATTTTTATTTTCAAGTCTTGTAGACCTATAGATTATTCATCTGTTTTATACTACGCTACTGTCTTGTAAAGTAAAAGATTCCTCTTTAGACTTGACCTAATGATCCATGATTGGGCAGATGTTCATGTTTCTTGACCACAGTATATGAAGGGATAATGTGGTCCACACCATGCTTAGCCTTTCCCTAATATGGGTTAGGTACCCACCAGAGCTGGGTGGACTCAGTGACATACCACTGATTTTAACCTGGATTCAAAATGAGACTTCTAGGTTAGCAGTCTAGTGCTAGGCCATGCCGTCCCAGTAAAAAAAAAAAGTAAAGTTCCCTTTTCAAACCTGACGGTTTATGGGGCAAGTGAAGTAGAGTTCACTTGTTTCTGTGACCTCGGCTTATGAAGAGATGGTGTTGTCAGCACCATGCCCAGCCGCCTTTACTTTACCTAACCTGAGTTAGGTACCCATCAGAGTTGGGTGGACTCAGGGACGGTCTACTGACTTGAACCTGGATTCGACCTCAAGACTTACGGGTTAGCAGTCCAGCTCTCTACCGCTAGACCACTCCGTCCCAGAGTGTCTAGTAATTATTATTGTGCAAACAATTAGATGTTATGGTATTTTGGATTGAATATGTGAATGAAAATTAAGATGGCATTACCATAATAACATAAGGACTAAATGCAGACTTAGCCATAACAAATATTTATTTTAAATAATGGTGCATACATCAGTCTTTCATTGTAAAAAAGATACATTTCATAACATTTGACAAAATAAACTATTTTCAATTATGTTCTTAGAGAAAATAGATTATAGAGCACGGGTTCCCAACCTGGGGGTCGCGACCCCCCTGGGGGTCGCGACCCCCCTGGGGGTCGCGAAGGTCTTTCTGGGGGGTCGCCAACTGGTATACTAAACCTTAGTAATTTGAAACAAAACATAAATATTTAGAAGATTTTTTAAAATTCGGCTTCATTAACATCACTGGAAATGTAATAGAGAAGAAACAAAGCGCACTGTACAAAGTTGTTCTCAGTCACGAATCTATGAAATCTTCAAAACTAAAACTCCATTTGAGACGAGTCATTCGGAACACACCAAAAACATGGAGTTCTTTCGTCGGCAAGAAGCTAGTTGCAAACGCCAGAGACTTGATCGAACTGGAAGTTTTCACCAACATTAGTGCAAGCATCAAATGAAGTCGCGATAGAAAATGCCAAGCAAAAAAAAAAACAATAAGGGAAAATCTCATCAAACGCTGCATGTACGTAAATGTTAAATAACACATTTTTATCGAAATTAAGCTTTCACCATTGTTTGCTTTTCAAGTTGATAAATCAATAGACGTGAGTTCGTGTTCGCAGTTGCTGGTCTATGTCTATATTCATGCGGATGATAGCAAAGAAGAGTTGCTCTTTTGTGAAGATAGCATGGAGAAAATAAATACCATTTTTGAAACTGGATGATTAAAATGGGTTAGAACGGCTATGTGGGTTTGTACCGATGGTGCGCCATCTATGTTTAGCTCAAAATCGGGCTTTCAGAAAGCAGAAAAGATTTAGCTCCCTAACCACTGCCCTAACCAATCGACACCAATAGTCCATTGCTAGTATAAGTCGTAAATTATATAAAATCTGGAGCCTTCAAAGAACTGAGCAAAAACATTGATATAGATCACGAGGTTCTGCTCTTCTACACTGCAGTACGCTGGCTGTCAAACGAAATCTGAAATCAAATTGTTCTTGGAAGTGCAAAGGAAACAAGACTTTTTGGTATACTTAAAACGACATAGAGTGATTGGAGAGAGTTTCATACCTAGCAGATGTGTTCGAACATCAAGATAAGCTTAACCTGAAGCTTTAGGGAAAATGAACGAATATTATAACTTTCCATGATAATCTCGGGGCATTTTTATCAAAGCTGTAAAATCGGTAAAGAAAATAAATCTTGGAAATATTGTAAATTTGAGAAACTCTGCGGTGTGGTAGATGAATCTGATTGTGAGATAATTAAAATTTTGAAAGAAGCGATTTCTGGGCATCTTGAATCTCTTGAAAACGAACTGCATCGCTATTTCTCTGAGCTGAAAAAAGAAGAATCTACATTGACGCATTACCCATTCTCTTCTTCCCTTGATGTTGCCAGCATTCCCGATGAATTACAAGATTATTATTATCTGATTTACAGAATGATTCCGCGTAAAATGAAAAACTGTATACACAATTTCGGTGTAGTATTCACCATTCATAACCAAACGTAAAATTGATTGACTTTTCGAGAATATATTTTCAACACTATTCCTTGATTAAAAACAAAATTAAGATAATTATAATGACATAGGTTGGCGTTAACAAAAATGGTTGTTAATTAAAAACTTAACCACGAAGGTTTAGTGAATAGTATGCAATTTTACTCATGCTATTAAAATAGTTATCAAGAGTAGTTCATATTGAAAGTCTAATAGAAAATCTTATTTTAGTGCTTATTAATTTTCATACTAATTTCGGCTTTTTAATTCTATGGGGGTCGCGGGTCACTTAATTTTTATAAAAGGGGGTCGCCACTCGAAAAAGGTTGGGAACCACTGTTATAGAGGAACACAATGTTTAAAGGTAAAATACATGAAACACATTCCTGAAATTGAGTTTATGAAATGATAAGAAAGACAGGTGGCACCTTACATTTGATTAGGGATCATCCATAAATGTCACATTTCTAAGCGGGAGGAAGTTTAAGTGACTAAACTATCGCATTTTATAAAAGTAACTTTGAAACTAAAATTGAGCAGTCAATATTGAATTTTTTTAATGACAACTGTATACCTTGTTTTAACCCAGCACCCAGCCATGTTAATATTTCTGGAAAACTATTTGCTTTAAAAAAGCAATGGCAATTTGGAGAAGCCAAGCAGTTGGCTAAAGTGATTTTTTTTACCAGGAGGGATTCTGACTTAAGCTAGGTTTGATGTAAAATCTATGACATATGGATGATCCCTGATTTACAACATAGAAAATTTTAAATCTCAGTCACTTCACCTCTATTAAAAAATCAATTCTTTAAAATGCACCGCTTGTAAATCTAAGTAATCTCATTTTTAATACTTCTATCAATGGACCTTCTTAGCTCTATTCAAATTTTGAAAATAACTTTCTGGTAGGCTAAATTACAAAAAAAAAATCTATAATTATTTTTTGAATAATTACTAATTAATTAGACCCTGAATAGCAACCCAAAGTACTGTATATCTAAATATAGTATTTCACAGATCCACCCCAAATATGTCACCTATACTTAAGTTAGTAACATTAATTGTAATGTTAAAACAATTCAAGTTACATAATTATAACAATTCAAGCTATCCAATAATGAATAAATGAACAGTAAACCATAACATCCCACAATAGCAAGTCCCACGGTAAATATATCCACACACAAAAAGTAATAATATGCTCAAAGAACAGATGCAACAACATCCATTGTTAGTTTAAACACATTTTTGTAAGTACTAGATACAAGTCACGAGATCAACTCTAAAGCTTAGTTAAAACAAATTACTTAATAATTAATAAATAGTTTAAAACTTTCACTTTTAGAATGAACCTCAACAAAAATGTTGCTGATTTTGAATCACATTATTTAAACTACCAATACTTGTCTCCAAGTCGGTGCAACTGTTACTGTTTAATTTCAAAGCCAGGTTTAGCTTTTTAGTTGTTCAAATACTTTTTTAACTTCATCAAAGACCTATAATGAAAAGAGAATAAATAATCATGCGACAATATACCTATTAAAAAGTTATAAACCTAATGGACACCAACAAGAAGTCTCAAATATGGTCAAAAGGTTGTTAAAAAATTTTAAAATCATGTATGATGTTATTAAATTAAATATGGTTATAAAAACCTAACAGGACGGCAAGGCAGAAAGATAGAATGTTTGGTTGCTAGCCCTAAGGTCTAGAGTTTGATTATTGAAATATTAAACTTAGAAAATTTTCAAACTTAATTTTAAATTATTTTTACGACCGCCATGATGGCAAAATTGAAAAAAAAAACATGATTTTTATTTATCTCAACAATTATGATGAAATGATTTTAGTCAACTCGTTGATGTCCAACACTTTGTTAAACTATAGCAAAATTTACAAAAGAAAAAATTCACAATCTGAGAAAACATCTAAAGAAATGCAGTACCTCATCTGGTGATTTGTCCCCTCCTACTTCTGATACTAAATTGAGTGCACGAAAATGGTCAATGATTGGCATAGTAGACTCTCTGTAGGTTATAATTCTGTAGAATATAGCACAAAGATTACATATAATGACATCTTGCTATATAAGCACTTGAGAATGAGAGCACAATTTCTTTAAAAAGGGATGAAAAGGAGAAAGTTTGCTATCAAATATAAATAATTTGGAGCCTAACAAAAATCTTTAAAAATTAACTAAATATTAATCAGCATCATTCACAAATTAAAAATGTCATCAATATTTTTCAGCATCAATCAAAACATATAACAAACAACAAACTTAACTCATTCCCTCCTAAGCCCCCACTTCCAGTTTACAAACCCATTTTATAACGTATTTTTTAGAAAACAATTTTTACTTGAGAATCATTAATCAATTCAATATTACAAAGACGAATGCACTCAAACTTTCAGATAAATATAACCACACTGGCATAACAACATAAAACAACAGCATAAAAAAAAAAGGAAACTCAACAAAAATTGTACAAGTAACATTTATTCAACACAAAAATCACAGCGTGAACCACGTTTTGAAAGTGAACCAAATAAGATAAAAACTTGAGGTTTTTAAAATTGAAATTTCGTGGATTCTCGCTACTACATGGTTACCTGTACTAATCTCGGGCATGAGAGATTTCATTATCTAGCTGAAAAGAAAAAATAGGGGGTGTGGCCAGACGATTTTAGACGCATCAGGCGAGACCCCCCCCCCCCCCCCGATGACGCATTTAGTCGTATCCGGCGGGAATGAGTTAATACAGTTGAAACAGTGCTTTTGCAAATAATTTTATTTAAACACAACAAACTACAGACCTTTTCTTTAAACTTTCTTCATTGTCGTCAGTTCTCCCACTGGTCTTTCCACGACTTAAACACCTATCTATACACACCTAATTTTAGAAAGTGAGAAGAAGTGTTTGTAAAATTTATCATTAATTCCTCCTCCCACCTTTTAAAAAATATTTTTTTAAATGTGTCTGATGGTATTTAAAAAAATTGCATACCTCATCTGGACAATTGAAAAATAAAACCCTCTTCACTTGAGCAACTCCTTCCATAGCTTTAGTCCAGCCATCAAGGTTATCCTTGTTCCTTGGAAAGCCATCTATAAGGAATTTGTTCTTTGAACTATTTTCCATTTCCTGAAATTTAATGAAGTATAATATAAATATTTCATTTCCATAACACTAACACCTGAATTATTTTTATGATCCTGAGCAAAAAATTAATGAAATGCACAAACTTTAAAATGACTGCTGCTAAGAAATGTATATATTAGAACAAGAACAATTCACCATAGACTTTATAGAGATATTTCTGACAGGTCTACAAAACACTAGGGTTTTTTTTGCTTATATAAACTTAATGTAAAGATGAGCCATGACAAATGTACTGAGAGCAAGATGATTAAATAATACATATTATTATATGAATAGTTACAAGAATTAAAAGTGACTGTTATTTTCAAAGTATTAGGGTTATTTAGGATTGATGAAAAAGTTTAAAAAAAATGTTTTAACCAGAGTCATTTATCTTTTGATAATACTAATCACACAAAACAAATCAAGCCTGTGACCCACAAATATGGCGTATCTAAATTTGAAATTTGTATCAATACAAAATATCCTGGCATCATATAGTAGCTTAACAGCAAAACCTTTTCTTTTTCTTATAATTTAAGATTTTGCTAGTGTAAACTTTGGAAATGGATATATTATATAAAGCTAGGTAATTACTGATCTTTTTGTAGACCATATTGAGTTATCGTAACAAAGTTACAATTACTTTTACTAGTTTTCATCAACATTATGAAGTATTAAAATCATCTCTCAAGTCACTTTGTTCCAGAGAAAAATATTTTTTTAAGTCAAATCTTTGGTTAATAAACCTCAGTGATAGGAGTGAAGAAGGAGGAAAAGAAGGGGAAATGTTCTCAACCTATTCAGAGTATACATGGTATTTCGAACAGTTTAAGGCATCTAAAGGTTATTAATTTATAATAATTGAAACATTCCTTTATGAAAACATCAGAGCCCAATAAATTACAGTAGAAAAGAACAGCAAGCTTATAGTCTACTAATTTGTTAATTACTCCCTTTCACCTTCGTCATTTAATTCCTCAAAAAAAGTTAAACCTAAGAAGAGATGTAAAGCAATAGTATCTGTATTATTAAGTAAAATTTAATGTGAATTGTACATATTACTGTTTCATATATAAAACAGTCCTTCAAAACAATTTCACCTTTTTCATTTTATTTTTGAAAAAATATAATAAAGGATAACTTCTGATAAGTAGAAATATTTGCTGACTTTTCGGTCGGCTGAAAAATATCGGCGGATGATTTTTAGACAAATGGAAAAAGCTGATTTTCTTAAATAAAAAACCCCAGAAAAGTTTTATCTCTGCAATCTGCACTTTAGGAAGGTACTAAAGCCATGAAAATAATTTCAAGCATAAACTAAAATAATTTATTAAAAAAAAACAAAAAAAGTAATATAATATTTATCAACTGTAATCATCTGATGATATGAAAGTAAATGTGTTAAAATATTTTAAAATTACAACTACAGTAACATTTTATTACCCTGCGTAGAAGTGAGCAAGTGATGGAAACAGGAACAATGGACCCTTCCTTCAAATGTTTGGCTATCTCATCACCATACTGTGATCCAGGTTGTTCTCTTTCCTGACGTAGCAGTTCTCCAGCTGATAAGTGTTGATAGTCAAAAGTCTAAGCAACAAAGAAAACAACAGATATTTACAGTGATTAAATTATTACTAAAATAACCAATTAAACATGATTCTAAAATAAATTCTTTTGCTAATGATAATTTTTATTTACGTTTTGGATTCTTTCGCATTGTGTTCCTTTGCCAGCTCCAGGTCCACCAAGAACAAAAATGACATTGTACTGTTTCTTTGCATTGTTTGCCATTGTGGTGATTGTTTCTTTTAAATAAACCAGATGTCGCAGTGCTATAATTGAAGAAGATGAATACTCTTTAAGCCAGGAGCAGCAATAAGCTCCCACCCGTGAAGAAACAGACGTCAGATTTGCTAAAAAAAGAAAATTAAAGGGTTTAACTTTACAACCCTGTTTTTAAAACAGCTTTATTCACTGATGATCTAATTCAAAGTTAAACAGCCTTAATACCTTTTTTAAGTAACTACAAGAGGACATTTTTTTAGCTAAGAACTTTTGACCCAATTAAATATTGAATAATAGTAATTAGTTATTGATTTTGATTTAATTGAAAGTATTATGTATAATGACATTACTGCTAAGTTTATTTTTAAGTAGGGGTTCTTCTAAAATTTTGAATACAAATTGTTGCTTTAAAACTTTATTATTTCTATTTTTTTTAAATAAATGTAACCTACCCTTTCATTTTTTACCTAAGCTCAAAGATATAATTAAAATGTCAATTTTATAACACCCTTATCATATCCACATGCTTGATTTCCCCCCTCCCCTAATAAGAAAGTTTTTATTGGTAACTTATACTTCAAGACATGGGATGACCTAGAGGTTGAGTGCTAGACTGCTGACCAAAAAGTCTTGAGTTAGAATCTGGGTTCAAGTAAGTAAAACATCCCTAAGTCCACCCAGCTCTGATTATCAGGGGTCATCCATAAATGACGTCACACTCGTAGGGGGGGGGGGGTCCATAATTTTGTGACGAGGGTGTGACGTCACACTTTTGAATTAAAAATAAGTATTGTTAGAAAATGAATATTAGCCATTATTACGTGTTTTAGACAACTTTAAATAAATTGTAATAGGAATTGATTAAAACGCACTATGATGACACGGGTTCAGAAAAATTTAAACTGCAATTTTGAGGGGGGGGGGGGGAGAGAGATTGTAGGCTGAGGTGTGATGTCATTTTAGGGAGGGGGTCTGGCTTTTTTTGACAATGTGTGACGGAGGGGAAGGGGAGGTAAAAATAGTCCCAAAAAGTGTGACGTCATTTATGGATGACCCCTTACCTAACATTAGGGAAAGTAAAAGCAGCTGGGCATAATGCTGATCACATTATCCTTTCATAGAAATAGGTGAACCCTACTCCACTTGCCCCATGGACCATCAGGTTGGTAAAGGGAACTTTACATTATACTATAAGACAGTGGTTCCCAAAGTGGGCAATATCACACAATTGGGGTATGGTGGTACTGGGTGATTGAGACCTCTGATGCATTTAGGTAGGTTGAAATTACTTTTTTATTGTTGCATTGATAATCATGTCTTCCAAAAACAACTAGGCCTTGTCTTCATTTTCTTTAAAAAGTCTGTGGTCGTTTAAAAAATATATGGTTCAATTGGATAAAAAATGAACAGATGGAATCTCCAAGTAGGAACTGATTATCATCCTCCTGAGATAAAGTAATTTTCCTGGAACATGCTTCTATTAAAATTACATCACTATCACTAAATATAAGAACCAGAAAATTTACAGTAGAATTATAACAGTCTTAAGTCAAACAAAATAAGAAGTTTGCATTACAAATAGTAAGCTATAATTACAACCATTACAATTCTATGCAAAACATTATTGTTTAATGAATTAAAGAACTACTAAATCATTGAAATATTTAATTGCTAGTTGCTTTGTAAAAAAAATTGTTGGCTATCAATGGTTGCCTCTGTTAGACCCAGATAGATTGTGTAATCCAAAGTAGGCCTTCATTGTTTATTTGTTATTTCCAGTCTAAACCTGATGGCTATGTAGGTAAAGTTTTTTAATCTAGTAATAGTAATACACTCAAAGTAACCACATTAAAATAAATAACACTTGTAGAACCGCATACTAAAGAGTAAAGGGTGAGGGGTAGTTTGTGTTATGGAGATGTGCAGCCAAAAGTGTCTGTAATGCTGAATTGTTGAGTAAAACAAACGAAATGAGAACAGTGTATTTTTGGCACACTTCTGTTTCATACCTATAATAATCTTTCAAATTAATTTCTTTTTCTTTTTGCCAGAACAAATTAGAAAAAAATTAGATTAGCTCTAAAGCTTTGCATCTTACTTCATAACAGGACAATCACCCGGGAAAAATCTTGATCTTTTTGGGTTGTTTTGCTTACATGAAAAAAGCAGAATTCCAAAAAAAAATACTATCCATAAAGACATTGTTAATCAGTCAAACCAACCCATATTATCCAACATCCCTGCCACAAATGATATCAAGAGGTCAACCCACCAACAAAAAGGTTTTTTTATCATGACAGCCTCAACCTCAGACTAGCTTTATGAAAAATATTGGGTAAAATTTTAAAATTGAGGTGTACACACAGTGCTTATGCATGATCACTCTTTCAATAAATAATAAATTATTGTTACATAAATAGTTTAGGCCTAGTTATATTTTATTAGCTTATAGGTCTATACTGTACATAGTATTTATACAGCATGACTATTAATATCTATAGAAAGATCTAGCAGGAAAACATTATTTTTAAGGAAAAGTTACATCCCTTTAATAAGATTTAAGAATAATAAGAGGCCTAATAATGAGATGTTAAGTTATGCCCACAATATGTATAAGTCTATAAATTAATAACCCTAAGTTCGATTGTACCAGTTAAGTTATGAAGTTGCCAACGTCACAGTGAGTGAAGATACTTCATTTGACATTTATCAACTTCATATAAAAAAATTAGACTACACGAAGGCAAAACTCCATTTTAGCGTATTTAATTCCTTGCTTCACATCCACCTCCAGTTGAGCATATTTTATTATAAACACAGCCGAAACACAAAAACGTTAGGAAAACACTAGAACTAGAGCTAGATGTACTTATTTTTTATGAATGTGATTTTTAATTAGAAAAGGTAAAAAAAAAACAACATAAAAAAGCATTAGAACAGTTCCAATTAGGCCTAAATATCGTGTGATCATCAGCGGGAGAAAAATACACGGGTTCAACTTGAGTTCACATTGACTTTAATTATAAGCGTACGTCATAGCTCGGGAAATTGTGTTGGCCTCAGTTTTGGGGTCATTTTAAGTTCATAAATGTTTATTTATAGTATCATGCCTTGGAGATACTTGTAACAATACAAACTTAACCGCCTTGCAATTGTGAGTTACGTTTACGTAATTCACTCATCCATTGCCATGAAAGTCCTAACTGACACACACACATAGCACATTCAATATTCTAAATTTGGATTTTTCTCAAGTTTTGACAAAAGTAAATTATCACAATCTAAAACTAAAAGGAAGTCAGTCTCTTTGTTTTTTATTCATTTGTTAAAACAAAAATACAATTAAATTAAATTTTTCCTAATGTGTTTTCCTAATGTTTTGGTGTGTTTCGGTTATTATTATAAAATACGCTCAACTGGAAGTCGGAGAATAAAATACGCAAAAATGGAGTTTTACCCTACACACCGGCCTCCGGCCTACACGAACTAAGGCCAGGCGGCTAAGGGCAAGTGTTAGTTTAGTTATTTTTTTAGTATCAAATTGATGATCTAGCTAGACTAGATCTTACATCTAAAGTCCTAGATCTAATTGATATCTTGAATTGTATTTTACAATACTCTTAATTAATATTGGTCGATCCTAGATCTAGATAGATCTAGATTCTAGATCTCTAGCTAGATTCTAGATCTATATCTTTATCGACGGAGGAGGCTGGAGTGACAACGTATGCCGACTTTGACCAACTCGACACTGAGTCGAGTGAGCCAGCCGTAAAAAAAAGTTTTCGATAAAATATGAGCATAAGTAGGATAGAGTATACAAGTATAAATTAGCTTAAATATAACCTATCCCTGATATTAAATATTTAAATAGATCGACATGCGTTACCTCTTTAAACAAAAATTACGTTAGATTGCAATATTACTCCGATATCTATTTGTTGACACACAGTAACAGGTAGCCATTGAATGAATGCCGAACGATTCCGAGGCTCTTCCGTCTATGCGCAATAGTTGCAAATAAGCTGCTACCCTTTGATTGGCGGGTGTTCGTTTTCGACAGTCTAGATTTACGTACGTGCCAAAACAAAACCGGTGGCTAACACTTGGATTTTCTTTTTGAATTTAAATCTAGTTATTTAATAATCGTCAGCTTACCAGAAAATAAATAAATGAAAAACCGTGTTAGTAAAGTTCCTGTTATCTATTGCTAAATCTAGTTATAATTTTGTGAATGACTTCATTTAGAATTCTAGATCTGGATTCTATTCTTTTTAGCAGAGCAGAGGTTGATCTCGTCAGGATGGCGTCCTTACCAACCATGAACGATTATCTAGATAGATCTAGAATCTAATCTTGATCTTTGATGGGCTTATCTAGATTATAGACTATATTTTAAACTACTGTTTTAAACTACTGATAGTTACCTGTTAATAGTTAATAATACTGCTATAAAATAATAATTAACTACAATGAATAATATAATATCCTGCGGTAATCTAACGTTTTTTATGTAAAAATCGCCCGCGACTAGATCTAGTAATGTGAAAGACAGGTGACTCCTTGAATTTTAATAATTATTTCACATTTTGAGGAGGATTTATGTTTTGAAAAATACAAAAATGATTCCTTGTTTCATTTGTTCCTGCTTTTAAACAACTGAATTAAAACTTTTCAGTAATAAATGAAGACTAGCGATGTTTCCAACAGATGCAACCATGCTCATTTACTATAGCAGCCATCTTGTTTAAGTTCTGTTTTTGTAAACTTGTAGCGGAATATAGCGCGAGATTCAGGGGAGGCAACTCTATTTTACAAATGGCTGCTGTTTATATAGGAAATCTTGCTCGCAAACACTGCTGTTTAAAGTTAATTTCTGGCCTATATTGATATATTTATTATTTAGCCATTGATTTAGGTTTATTATTCATTTATCTATAATATTTGACACAAATATATCACAATATACTTCTATTAAAGCCTTGACAGTGAGGTAACTTTTTCGCACATTTCTAGCTGCGGGCGATTTTACGTACCCAAAACGATAGATTACCTATCCTGTCTAACCTATATAGATATCTAGTATTAAGTATATTATATGGCTATTAATATAGATTCTATATTATTATATTAAATATAAAAGTAACAATTTCTTTTTACAGTTTAATGGATTTCCCAAAGACAAAACAGTGTCTGTGGGATACAACAAGTACTGGTCCAGCAACTTACCTACATTTAAATTATTACAGGTAATTTTATTTTTTAGTGCCCATTTTTTTTAACTATATGTAGATCTAGTAGTAGATCTAGTAAGTAGTAGGCCTATTTTCATGAAAATATTACTAGATAGAAACAGTGTTAGCAATTACATATGTTTCATTGAGTTTCAGAAGTTGTTTTATGAAATGATTGTGTAAAATGAAATTGTTCAGAGGGTTGCACTTTTTCAAAAATTATATACCCTTATCAATCAGTTTAATTGGCTTACCTAAACATGATCCAACTAACAAATAGTTTATTATTAGGGAAGGGGTACTTTTTTGCAAAGAAGTTAATGTCCAGATCACAATAAAAATACATGGCCTACTTCATAAACTAATGAGAAACATTTGTTGATGAAGTTTGTACTTATTAAATAAGTTATCATGACATTCAATTAGTTTTAACCCCTTTACCGTGGAAATTTTTTTTTTTTGTGTTAACCGTGTAATTGTTTTTTTCCACTTTTGTTTTCACATCACGTGATGACCTATTTTTATCATCCGCTGTTGAATCCGCTGTTAGATTAGCCTCCCTCTACATTGTTATTGATTTCCAATGCTATTTTCGTATCAAGACGAGTTAACGCGGGACGCACGGCACACAGACGACTTTTTTATCTGAAGACGAGTTAACTCGTGATGTATGGTTAAGCACAAGATTTTATATGACGAGTTAACTCGTGACACACGGTAAAGGGGTTAAGGCTACTACAATGCATTGAAATTTATTTCACACAGAAAACCAAAGATTTGCATCCCTGAGAAAATATTGAGGCTTGTCCAGCACCAGTGTGAACACTACTCACAATGGAATCACAAATTAATTGCTAGTTTAGTTGTTGAAGATGGTAAGTGGAGACTTGTTTATTTAATAGTCAATCTATACAGTATGCCCACCTATGTTAAAGATCATAGGTAAAAGCTTAATTTTATTAAAACCTAGATGATGCAGTGAATGAACCTTTTATAGATGCATTTTCAAAGTCTGTAAGTCTAGCTGTATGAGGGGGAAAAAATTTAGTTTAGCAGTCTGCAACCTTGATTACATAGTTTTCTTTCATTCTTTAACCCTTTGATTTTTTTTTTCTGTCAGACGAGGAAGGTGTCCAGTTTCAAGTGGATAGGCTAGACACCCTGCAAGCTCATCAAACTGATGCATCATGCTTAGTACCAGGAGATTTAATTATTCCATTTGAAGTAATGTATTCTGTGAATGGAATGCATTTCAGTTTATCTAATATCTTATGTCATTTCTGTATTGAATCCTGTTCAACATTATTTTTCAAGTAGTAATGCATATATTGTTAAAGATTTCTTGATTCCTTTTTTTTTTTATATTTATAACGCATTTATAGCTTGGTATTAAAACTTTTCTAGCCTCTTGAAAATTTGTTTTATTAGGTAAGCAATAACAAAGCCAAAGATCGCCAAGGCTCAGCTGAATGTTATGCAGATGCTTTTAATGTAAGTAGCATTTCTGTCTTTTGGCTTATGGCATTTCTAAAAATAATTTTATTACTTTTTTGTCACAGAAAATTCAATAGCAAATAGAATTATATTTAATCCTACCCTGACAGTTTGATATTGTTTTTACAGAAGTTACATCAGAGATGTAGCAGTAAAGCTAGCATTGAGCTTTCCAGCTTCATGGAGCTGTATGGCTGGGCATCATTCTATAGTAACAGCCATACCTCAGTGGTACACATAGATTTTGATATGATCACCTTGGAGACGGTGATTAAGGCCACACCCATCAACCCAATTCCCATTGTCTTAACAGCATTATCAAAAAATCTGGCAGGTCCTATGAGTTTAAGCCACATGCAGGGATTACCTAAAACTGGGTAAGTAAACCTGTGGTTTAAACAAATTAGTCCCAACCCTGTAATTAAAGTACCCTTTAAGTAAAACTTAGTTTAAAGATCCCTTTCTGAAGTGACAGTTAATTTGCCAGATGATGTAGATTTCACCTATTTCTGTGACATTACTGTATGCCCAGCTGCCATTTATTTTCTGACTTGTGTAAGGTACTTATCAGAAATGTGTGGACACAGGGACATAACTGAACCTATAAAGCATTAATTTGATAGTTGGGTGAGCCGATGTGCACCAAACCATCCCATTATTCAGTGATCACTCATGTGCTATTATTATTTTTAGAACTTTTTATTTCAGGTATCTTACCATGGATCACACTAGGAAGTTGCTTCTTGTTTTAGAATCTGATCCAAAGACATCAAATCTTCCGGTTGTTGGGATGTGAGTTGTGGCATAATGGCTGTATAAAAATTTACTACTTGTAGTTAATTTAAATAGCGGTGAATAATTTAAAGTGAATTGTGGAAAAAATGCGATGTATCTTTTTAAAAAGTAACATTTTTTATGGTACATTTCAGATGGGTTTCTGGTGTGGAATTGGTTCAGCATCCTTTTGTTTGGGCTGCATGTCTGCGCTACATTCATAATGTCCATCTCCAAGACAGGTAATAATTGCTGTTAAGTTTGTATTTTTTTCACATACTATATACATTTCTGTAGACTATCTACTTTGTTGCATTTTGTAAAATTCATTTTTCTTGCAGTCTAGTATAGAATTTCAAAATGTTTTAATGAGGTTTATGGTGTCCTTGTACATCCAGTGATTGTTAAACTGTTTTGAATTTGTATCTTCACTTATCTGCTAGAGTGTGTAAAGCCACAGAAGAGTTCCTCATCCTGCTGTACACCCCTCTGCACTCACGACCTGAGTTTTACCAGGCCAACACAACCACTGACAAGCTTAACTTCCAGCTCTGCTCAGGGCATGAAGTGACCAACATGGTTAAGGTAACATGAATGCTGTCTGTTATATAGTTTTTGTGAAATTTTTATGTTTTACTGATGTGCTTTAGTACATGTTTTTGTCCAACATAAATTGGATAGAAATATGTACCTTTTATGTGTAAGAATTTGTGTATGTGATTTAACTTTATCTGCAGTCTCTATCAAGTCCATCTGACAACATAACAGAATTAGAACTTGGACCTGTGTATGATGGGGATAAAATGGTATACTTTGATGCAGCCAAAGCCAAGCATTTGGTGTTTTTGTAAGATTATTATTTAATACTATTAAGATTAGTAGTTTTTTTTTAAGACTTCCTTATTTATTGTTTAATTTTTGTTATTGGGTCTGTTTGCTCACATTTGCTTCTGTATTATAAATTTAATGACTACTTGAAAGGTGGGGAAAAAATATCTCATCACAATTAACAACCAATTAATGTTTTTTTAGAGATGATGTTTAAGTAGTTTAGTTATATTGTGACAGCTGTCATATTTTATTTACTTCTTACAGAGCCAATAAAGCTGGGCACTTCTCTAGCTTAGCTGAAGATCTACAACCACGGTCTGCCCCAGCCCCTCACACTGAAAATGTAAGAGCTTAAAAAAACTTAAAAGAATTTTTATTTAGAAGTTTGTAACTTAACAATAGCTTTTGGACCATACATTGGGCGGGGATGTAAAACTCAATAAGAATCGTGCATTGCTCTCTTGGAATCCACTACCAGCCTGGTATGAACTCCTCAGGTTTTCAGTAGTTAACTCTGCTATGCTAGCTGTTTAAATGTCAATTACAATGTATGACCAAACATTTTATTATAGAGCTCATTTCTTTTTGCAGGTTTTATAGATCATGTGTTTACCAATTTTAAAATGTAAATTCGAAATCTTCAAAATATGACTTACTAGAGTAAGTCTTCATTACTCTTTGTGGAACATACGGTCTCATCCATAATCTTCCACTATGAAATATATGGTTATGTAAATTCTAGTCATTTTAGTTTCAAGTATTAACCAGTTAAAAATATAATTTACAATTTATGATTTTTTTAGATTCCAGCCATTGCTCCTATGGTACCAGATGTTTCCATTCTGTGGAATGAGGCTTCCCCACACTATGAACCCACAAGCGGTATGGCGCCTAAACAAGCCCAAAGTCACATGATGAGCCCAGCTATGAATTCATGTCAATCAAATGTGATGTGGAATTCTCCAGGCCCACCAGACAAGCTGTTCAAGAGTCCATTTTACACCCAACCCAAAGATCCTTATCAGACGCAGCAGAACTCGGCTACAGGATTAAAATATTCACCCCATCAAGAAATCACGTCTGTGGTTGGTAGAAAAAGCTTGACCTTGTCCTCTGTTGGACAGGCCCAGCTACATTCTCCTAGGTCAGAGACCTTGACCTTTCCCCAAAATAGCATCCCAAGGTCACAGGTCATGACCACTGCACTACGCCAGGAAGTTCTGAGATCAGGTGGTCCCAAAAGCCAGGCTAGCACCTCAGCTGTTGGCCACCAGAGTCCACGCTATCCTGGTTCACCATTGTCTCAGCATTATCCACACAACGCAGCAGCTGCAAATAGTTCCACTGCATCTAACAGTATTAGTACTACTACTGCAGTCCAGAGCTATGCACTGCACCCAACTACACCTCTAGCACAACACTACATGCAGAATGGCAGTGCATCTATAGCACAGAACTTTGTATGCAGTGCTAATTCACCTTCAGCGCAGAACTTTATACACAACACTAGTGCACCTTATACCCAGAACTATGTACTCAACAATAGTGCGCCTTCTTATGTACAAAGTCCTAGTGCACCATTTACCCAGAACTATGTACACAACAGCAGTGCACCTTCTTATGTACAAAGTCCTAGTGCACCATATACCCAAAACTATGTACACAATACTGCACCTTATGTACAGAGTCCTAGTACACCATATAACCAAAACTTTGTTCACAACAGTAGTGACCCTTTTTGTGTGCAAAGTCCTCCTGCACCATATACCCAGAGCTATGTACCTCACCCAGTAACATCCTTAGCTCAGCACTATGTACACAATGCTCCTCCACTCAGTTCTGGAACACATTCTAATCAGAATAATGTACACACTCCAAGAAACCCCTCAAATCAAAACCATGTACCTGGTACTCCTACAAATCAAGATCAGAACTGTGCTTATAATGGACCTCAGTACTCACTAGTTCCATTTTCTGGTTCACAACAAACGTCACCCAAAACAAGTAATGGTAGCAGCAACACCCAACAGCCTGCCTATGCTGAACCCAGGCACAACAACGCACAGTTTCTGAGGACTATTGTGGAAGAAACGTTTTCTTCGCTAGAACCACAAGCTAAAGAAGACAGATCTGAGAGTGAAAATCACAGCGCACATTCAGGGGAGATGGACGATGATGACAGTGGTCTAAGTGTCACCCCGGACAAAGTAAACCCCGCCAAACAGACAGTGACGTCCCTTGGTCAAGACAACGCTAGACGAGACCAACTTCCTGTCTCTGAGTCCCTGAAATGGGACCAGGTCCCCGCTGATGTCCGTGCCTTACTTGTCCAGCAGCAGGAGCAGATCAAACAGCTACAGCAGCAGATACAACTTTTGATGCTGGAGAAATCCAAAGCTGCTGACCCCAGTCCTGTAGTGACACAAATACCACCGTCCTCTGCTAAACAGAGCCCAACGCAGGAGATTTCGCCTCAGCATTTAGACTCTCTAGAACCAACCAGACCTAAAGATACAGCTCCTAACCAAGTTGTGCGTCCAGGTAAGTTAAATATGTGTAAACTAAACTACAACCTGTTTAACAACATTTTTTAAAATTACTTTACTCCGTCTTAGCGTAGTCTGCAGTGATTGAATCTATATAATCAATGAAGTGTAGTGTAGTTTGATTGCTCCTACAAAAAGTAGGTCCAGTTTTTATAAGCCTGATGTTTCGGGTGTGTCCCTTCCAATAGCTCTGGTGATAGGTGTGTTAAAAATTTTAAAGGGTGTATAATATTATTTTAACCACTCAGTGCCATCTTACATTTTGGCTACTGTAATGAGAAGTTTAAATATAAACACACCCTTTCACTGTTTTGTATTTAATCAATTTTTTGGGATGTAATCTTGTGACAGAAACTTAATACACTTCTACCAAACCAATTTATTCAAACTTTAAAAGTAGGTCAAGTTCTGAAGATATCGTAAAGTTACAAGAACTTTGATATTACTAGATGTTTGATTATTTATTTATTTAATTAAAGATATCCATAACAAGTACTATTAATATTAGTATCACGCTTTTACATAGTCATGTGGTTTTCTTTTTAAATGTAAAAAAAATAATGTATAAAATCACCTTTAACAGCCAGCTTTCATTTATGCACTTAAAAAAAAATCATCTGTAATTTTAATAATATATATATATATTTTATGTAATATGAATAAACTTCAATCTCCTCATTTAAATGTATATGTAGAATTACTTCCCTTGTGTTTTACATTGTGCTTATGTTTCAGTTCCCATGGAGCCTTCAATGAATTGTACCAGTGTTGATGAGCAAACTTCTCCCCAGGCTTCAGTGATATGGGCAGGGGAAGCTTCAAACTCTGGTGTGCAGGCTGAACAGACGATGAACACAGGCCTGTCAGAGCTTGAGGTTGATATACCTGGTTATGTTTCCACACAAGACAGGTTTGCTCATTATAATTTTTTTATAACTGAATACCCTCACAAAAAGATAAAATTATTTATTTAAACAATATAATTCATCTGGTATTTTTTTTAAATTTCAAATTTTTAATTTTTATTGTTGTAATTGAAATATTTATAAATTGTCTTTTGTCTTTGTAGGTCTCAGTTTAATGAAAGCCCCTCAAGTGTCAGTGATTATTATAGAAACAGCAAGGTAACAGTTCTTTCCCTCAACAACAAAAGTGGTGTCATTTAATTAAGGATAATGTGCAAGTTTTCTTATAACATTTTTTTTTTCTAACCTTAGGATGATTCCTACTCAACTGTAGCAGAAGATGCTAGTGATCCAAAGCAGTTTTATCACCAGATTATGGTAAATAGCTCACCCTTTATTCCTACTTTTGTTTTCTTTTACTAGTTAAAACAATCATCCCCATAGATCTAGCTCAGGTGGTAGTAGTGTGTACATTTTTATAGTCTTAACTTTTTTGTATGGTAATAAATACTGGTATGCAATATTTCAGTCAACTATCAACCGTATGCTGCATAACAGCAATAGTCAGAGTAATGAAGCGACCAATGGTCTAAATGAATCCGAGATGGCTTTACAAGCTTCTGGACTGAAGTAAGTAGCTACCGACAGATTTAGTTAGCAATTAATTGTATGTATTTTAAATTAATGTTCTGATAAAAAGGTTATCGAACTGTAATGTAAGGATGGAAATAACACCGAAATAATACGAAAATTAGACCTTGCATACTTATTAAATTAGCTTATTGAAGCCTATAGAAAACATTTTTTTAAAACAACAGGTGCTATAATAACAATAGATTATTCTTCATTCAGTGCTCACAAAAGTAAAAAAAAATTGGTGTTTTAAATTCTAAACTATTTTCCAAGAAAATTATTAAATACTTTTTAAGATTAAATAACTTAAAATTAAGCTATTAAATTGATAAGGCTTCTACTTCTAGTATAAGTAATTAAAATGCATAATGTGATAAAAGAAGTTTGTACTTGCTAGATATTACTTTATATTAGTTGTGTTTCTATTTGTTTGTTAAACATCTTTTTGTTGTTTCTGTTTTCTAGTGGTGGGGGATCTCTCAACACAACAATGTCTCCACACATCAACTACGTATCCATGCTGCTGGGGTGTCATTCAGACAACGGCCAGTCAATGGAAATCAACGCCATGGCCATGAAGTACCTTAACGATGATCAGCTGACAGAAATAGCTAAACTCTGCCAGTCAGGGGGTGGCAAAACTCACCAAATCCAGTACGCCGCCAAGATGTTTCAGAGAGTTATCTCCTCCTGTGATCAGTCTACAGTTTCCCCCAATGATATGACAATCGGGACGAGGCAGTATTTAGAAAAACATGGCCTGCTGGGGAATGACACTTCAATCATCGCCCCTACTCTAAGTAATCAATCATCTGTCCAGGACATGTTCCAACTCAAAACAGAATTCAGCATGATAACAGACGTTTCCAATGGAAACTGGGGGTCGCCTAATCCAAAGTATAGGCAGACACCTAATACTAACCCTGCTTTAAAAGACACGTTAAGCAAACAGAAAGAAAATATTTCCCCTTCAGTTGCAGGCGATCGAAACGAGAAGTGGTTACCAGGTCGTGGTATACCAAGAGATCTAGGTGCGTCTCCTGTACTGCATGCGCCTAAAGAATACAATGCACGTCAAGCACTTGATGATTCTTTTACTCGCATTAGGTTGAATCAGAACGAACAGCTTAAAAATGAAGCGGTACAAAAAAAGAACTCTTCAGAAAGTCTTCAACAAAAGGAGGATAAAATACTGGACATTGAGAAGTTGAAACAGTTGCCAAAGTTGTTATAGCAAAGTATTTACATAGTGTGTTGTAGGGAAAACTTGAGGAAATGTGAAATCTTTGAAAGGTATTGGTGCACTTACTTGATTCTTTTTTAATCTTGTCTCAATAGCTGCCAAAAAACACTTTGTTTTACAGATCTGTATTATCCTTTATCCAGGATAAAGTATGAAATTCAATTATTTTTTAGCTGTTAATCAAATTATAAATTTAACGTTATTTATTTATTCATACTAATTTTATAAATTGATAACAATATATACTTAAATTAATTTTCTATTTTATTCTTGTTGAACTGGAAGAGTGTGCAAAGGTCTGTTAAATACATTTGCATTTTTTTCTTAAATGCCATTTTAAAAGCAATAAACTAGTTTGATAATGTAGTTCAAAGAGAGAAACAAAAAAATCTGAATGATTAAGTTGTTGTCTCATAACCTGTACATCTATAATTACTTCAATCTTTGAACATCAGTTGAACTTTGTTACATTTTTTTTTTATGGTTAGCACAGGTTTGTAAATCAACTCTAAGCTTGTTATTGCTGAATATTGGAAGGTGGGGGGAACAACTGGAATATAGTCAAAAGCAAGTCCTATATGTATTTGTTAATTTTTTTTTTTAAAAGTGTCAGTACATTATAGGTACTGATGGACTGCATGATCGGTAAAATGTGCTTCAGAGCAGTCGTTATTCGTTATACATCAGCCTGTCTGTATTACTTATCTAGCCATTAAATAAATGAAAGAAAAATTGTCCTACCTCACAGATAACTACCGAAATGTACATGGTTTATATTTACATTCTCAAATTTAAATGCTATCACTGTAGCAAATCTTATCCCTTTTTCTAATTGATAACTCTTTTAGTTACATTTTTCTTGTATATTTTTTTAGTTTTTGTAGCTGGGATCAATTTAAATTTAATGTATCAATTTATACTAACTTTTAAAAAATCTTCATTTAAAATATATAATTTATCAATTTAACTTTTTATCTATATTTACTTTTTCTTATCAGACATTTGATTTGTTTTTCCAATCATAATGTAAATAAAATATTTTCTAAGTACATGCCTCAATCGATCTACTCTTTCTATACATCACAATCAGGAGGTTGTTATATCTATCTTTATATTTTATAAATCTGGTATCTATATCTGAATTTCAATACAATTCTGTTTGTATTTTCCTAACCTTGGGTCTGTATGAAGTAATTATTGTTACAAAAGGGCTAGTTTTTAGACAACTCTTGAATATATCTCCTGTCCTTGTTAAGTGCATGCTGTCTATTGATTGACTCAAGTGTTTAATTTACAACACAAAATGTCTTTTTCCCGTGTTCAGTTAGCCACTGCGGCATAATTTACGATACAAAATGTCTTTCCCGTCGTGAGTTAGTCACTGTGGCATAATTTACAACATCAAATGGCATAATAAACACCACCACAAAATGTCTTTCCCGTCGTGAGTTAGTCACTGTGGCATAATTTACAACATCAAATGGCATAATAAACACCACCACAAAATGTCTTTCCCGTCCTGAGTTAGGCATAATTTACAACACCACAGTGTCAAAATTTAAAACATAATGTCTTTTCCGTCCAAATTAGCCACTGACAGTCATAATTTACTACAACACAAAATAACATTTACAACACACACAAAACAATTTACAAACACAAAATGTCAATTTACGACACAAAATTGTCTTTCCCGTCCCGTGTTGCACGTGACCAGGTCAGGTGGTGTTACAAGGGGAGAGAATAATCGACTGCAACAAACAACAAAAACCTTAGACATGGACACGCTCAGACAACACAATGGCTATGAATAGACCATAGGTAAAAGATCTAGTCTCTTTATTCAATATTTCAAAGCATTTCGTTGACATTCTACCGCCAGATTAATCTGAAATGTTGTATAAGCAGCTATAAAAACAAAACCGTCAAATGTAGGAGTTACTGAAATTGGCGGTGGCAATCAATTTGATAGATTTTTCTAGAAAAATTAATGATGTTTCCAAACCCAATCAGCAGTGAAGGGGAGAGTTACTGTCTTATAATAGGTTTAAATCCTCTTCATTGCCGTTGGTCTTTTTCCCCTCAGCGACGGACACTTTGTTGTTGCTGCGCGAACTGTTTGGCCAGCCCGACTGCGCAGGTTTCTCAGCAGCCGTCAAATTGCTGTTACTACACGAACAGCTGGGCTTGCACGGCTGTGGAGGTTTATCGGGAGCAGGGGGGTCAATTTTGCCTGGACCCATGAAAGGTTTTCTACAAATTCGAGTTGGTGTTTTCTCTTTGTCGTTTTTTTCGGTGGAGTCTCCGCAGGGCCCGGATCGCCTGGTTAACATAGGACTGGAGACTTCCTTCTCGCCCTTAGCGGAGCTTTGGTTGGGCGAAGTCTCGGTGACTGTGTCTACATTGGTGGTAGTTTTATCATGACCTAAGGTTGAGGTATTACAGTCAGAAGCGGTGAAGGTGGAGTTTTCGCTAAGGAAATTTGGTGGAGTTTCGTCACGGTGAGGTCCGCTCAGCTCGAAATGTTTTTGTTCGGTGTTGGTTGAATTTTCAGGGGGATCTGGGCCTGCACTGCATGGGGTGGGTAGTTCCTGGTCGCTGGGCGGGCCTCTACACGGAGTAAGCGCAGCAGCATTTTCAACCTCTGTAGTGTTGCTAGTGGCAGGACTATCAGACTCTTTGCAAGGGTTTACCATGTTACCGTCACCTTTCTCTGACACATCACAGGGCTTTTCTTCGTTGACCATGTCTTGGCATGGGTTGAAAATCTCACAAGATGCATTGGCAGAAGTATCAAGAACTTGGTTTGTGTCTCTACATGGCCGGGAAATGACGCAAACTGGTTCAGCTGAATCGTCGTCATCATCTGGTTGAGTTGGGTACTCCGCTAGAAGGTTGCCTTCTACGCACGGGACACACGCGTCACAGTTGGGTGAAGCTTTGAGGGAGCAGGTTTCAATGCTAGTTAGTAAATCGCAGTTGGATGGATCCCTGTGGGGGCGGAAGATGTGGACTGTTGTATTGCTAGGAGAGCCAAGTGTTAACGCAGGCTCAGCTCTTTTTAAACTCTCGAGATCCGCGGCATGTTTCTTGACTTCTTCGATTAGTGTGCTTTTTGCATCCCATCGTATTCCATAAATGATTAAAAATCCGATCGACCCCGCGGTTAGCAAAAGCTTGTGCTCTTTTAGTGAAGACAAACCTGGTTGTAAAAAAGAAATGATCGAAATTATGTTTAAGATAACAAACATTAGATCAGTTGCATTTGTTTAAATGTCATTGTTTACATGTAGCCTGTATTAAACGTGATGCTTTAAAATACAGAAAAAAAATCAGTTGTCAGTGAAGCCGAAATGTCGTGGGCCCAACTTGGAGGAATCGCCCAAAACCGAGTACGACCGAGAGGTGTTGTTGCGTCCCTATGCTCCAAGCGGGCCCAAAGGAATGATGATGGTGGTGATGATGATGATGATGGTGGTGATGATGATGGTGATTTGCAATACATAATATATTTATATCATCTACTATGGTTAATCGGACGACATTGGATTCGATCCGGTTGTCCATATTAACTGGTTAAACGGAGTACACGAACGTGTCGTTTCTTCAATTACTTCAAACCAAGGGACCAGTGTTTCTTCCAGACTTTTCTCTCCGGGGGGGGGGGGGGGGGGGGGGCGGACACTGTTAAAAGTATATATTTTCTATATAAATTCCCCCCCCCCCCCCCCCCAAGAGATGCCTGGAAGAAACTCTGCAAGGGAAGTGCTGTACTTAACATACCAAAATATCATCGTGTATTTTGCGTTGTTACACACTCGTATAGTGAACACAGACCCAAGAACTACTTTTGCTTATGAACTTGGTTGGGAAAAAATCAATTTGCAAAGCTAATTCTTCAAAACTATATAGATCTAGATCTACGTGTTAGACACTATAGCGCTACTCAATGTGAAACGCAATTTAAAAGAAATTCTAAAAAAAAAAAACCGAGTTCACGTAATGTGACCTGAGACGTCATGTGCTTGATCAATGATCATTCATTTATGTCGTACATTAAAATGTGTGTTTGTTTGTTTTTACCTCCACCTCATAAGGACACCTACGAATATTCAATTTATTTCAAAACAAACTTCCAATAAAGATGGCTAATTCAATAATTATGCAAGGTCTAATTTTCGTATTATTTCGGTGCTGTTTCCACCCTTACATTACAGTTCGATGTCCTTTTTATCAGAACATTAATTTGATTAAGTTCAATTTATAATCTTCCTTACATATTAGCTCAATATCATTTTTATCATAATAGAGTTCATTGTCATTTTAATCAGAACATTAATTTGATTGAAGTTCAATTTATAATCTTCCTTACATATTAGCTCAATATCATTTTTATCATTATAGAGTTCACTGTCATTTTAATCAGAACATTCGGACATTCTAGCCTATATAAATCGATGTCTATTTGTATATTTCCTAAAGAAAATAATTTTTGTCCAGCTTTAAACGAAGAATGACCTTTTTTGTATAGGTATAGGCAGTTCCAATATGATTTGTTCATAGTGAATAAGAGACTGGTCCGATTAACCGATTCTTGAATTCACCTATTTGGCAATAGGCTATACTAATACTTCTTCTTCTTCGTTCTTAATTTTTAGTGTTAGAAGGGATCGAGAATTATCTGCCAGAGGGTTTGAACTAAAGACTTTTTCGAATTTAACAACCATGAGTTTTTGCTGACTCGACCACGCCTCCATTACAATTAAGGATACGTATCAACTGGTTATGCGCCATTGAGACCATTGACTCCGATTTCAGCCTGCTTTTCTTTTTGGATTTGCTTCCATAGCTTTTGTCCAAACAAGAACAAACTACAAGGCAGCAGTTGTTTTATTTTGGAGTTGTCACTCCTAGAAGATACTATACTTCTAATTTCGTGTATTTTCGTTTAGGTTTGTGTTCTATCACTTCTAATAAAAGTTGTGGAAAATTAGCGGGGCGGGCTCAAAGATTCGAGAAGAGGTGAGAAAAGTCTAAAGCAGGAGGTCATTGACCGGAAGGGTCGGCGTGTCAGGAGGAGAGGTAACTCCCAAGGAGTGTTTCTTCCAGTCTTTTTTCTCCGGGGGGTGGGGGGGGATTTTCGGGGGGGGGGGGGGGGGGGGGCGGTAGACTTTCTTCGGGGGGCGGACACTGTTAAAAGTATATATTTTCTATATAAATTATATAAATTTCATTTTGTTCGGGGGGGGGGGGCGGTAGAATTTTTTCTAGGGGGCTTCGGCCCCCCCCCCCCCCCCCCCGAAGAGATGCCTGGAAGAAACTCTGCTCCCAAGTCCCGACCACACCACGGGCAGTTAAGGCTCGTTAGCTGAGGACCAGGGGCCGGGTTTAGATTTGATAAAATAAAACCTATGCTAATTTTGAAATGGGGGTCTTTATAAGTCCAGATAATATATGTTAGTGCAAATATTTGCTTTTAAAAAAAAAAAGAAACTTTGCAGGCAAAAAAAAAAAGGATTAAAACTGAAGTGGAAAGAGAATGCCTCACTATGTTTAAAAAATTAATATTACAACCTAACTAGGAGAGGATGCCAAAATCAAACAACTGCTGCCTTGTAGATTGTTCTAGGCAATACACTCAGGTTGTAATCGGAGTCAACGTACCATATGGAACAGCACATGTTTTATAGGTAATCTTTAATTTTGTGGAGGGAATTCCACCCCCCCCCCCACAATACAATTAAGAACGAAGGAAAAAGACGGACCAGATGAATACAAGGCACACATTTTATTAAAATAACGTCACGGTTTGTACATCAACGCGTTTTTAAATGAGGACAGATCGAACGGATTAATGTCCTTGTTAAATAAACCAAGAAACAAAACTTTTAAAACATGAGCAACAATAAACATTTGCAACGAAAAGCCAATCTGGCAATGCCATTTACCTAAATTTGTGGTAGCATAATTCATAGCATTGGATGTAGAGTTCAAGATGGTGGTTAGAGTCGGGGGTTTTTTCGAAGGGTTTTTCTGGGGTGATCGGTTCGTTCCTTTGGACAGTCCTTCAAACGGTCGCGACAAATGGATCTGCCTAGATCCCATGTTTGCTTTCTCAAGTCCAGACTGGCCAACCAAAAACCTGGCATGGGCCGCCTTGTTCGGCAACATCGCCCACTTGCTGCGGCAGGTGCCAGCAAGAAATGCCTGTCTTAAAGCCATTTGTACTGATGGATCGATTTTAAATAATCCAAGTCTGAAATCGAAACCATATTTTTTATTACGACTACGATACGATGATTTTTTTAATTTATTTATTTTGCTCTCGATATGACATACACATATGCGGTGGTAAAAAAATGGAATGTCTAAATTAACCAATCCAAATCTCAACGCAATCAACTAACATCTCCATAAACCCTCCCTCACACATTATATAATATTTCCACAGACCCGAGTCAATACTAACAGGTTAACTCAGCTTCACCTGCTCTATTGACTTTCTTGATAGAAACTGCATGTAGATAATTAATAAGCATAAAGAATCGGAAAAAGTACCAATGTAATGTTGTCAAACGTTTTTCTATTTCAATCACCAATCAATTCTAGATCTGTGTGTGTATATAGACCTAATTATGCTTAGGCCTATACCTACGTTAAATTTAAATTGGAAACCTAGAGAATACGTGTGATGGTAATCTATCGTTTTGGGTACGTAAAATCGCCCGCGACTAGTAATGTGAAAAACAGGTGACTCCTTACATTTTAATAATTATTTCACATTTTGAGGAGGATTTATGTTTTGAAAAATACAAAAATGTTTCCTTGTTTCATTTATGTACCTGTTTTTAAACAATTGAATTAAAACTTTTCAGTAATAAATGAACACCAGCGATGTTTCCAACAGATGCAACCATGCTCAATTACTATAGCAGCCATCTTGTTAAAGTTTTATTTTTATAGACTTATAGCGCGAGATTCAGGCGGAAGTCACTCTATTTTACAAATGCTGCTGTTTATATAGCAAATCTTGCTTGCAGACACTGCTGTTTAAAGTTAATTTCTGGCCTATATTCATATATTTAGCCATTGATTTAGGTTTATTATTCATGTATCTATAATATTTGACACAAACATATCACAATATACTTGTATTACAGCCTTGACAATGAGGTAACGTTTTCGTACATTAATAGCCGCGGGCGATTTTACGTACCCAAAACGATAGATTACCCGTTTGATCTACGTTAAACTAGATCTAGATCTAGTAAAGATTAGAAATGAGAAGGCATAAATAAGTTGTGTCAAAGTATTTATCAACGAACAGTTCTGACCAAAAGAGACTCATCCCTATAACCATCCCTAAACTTTTTTGAGTGTGTGACAGATGCAGTATACTGAGTATACAGTTCGATTTGATAGTAGAAGAGTCTAGATCTAGATCGCACAAGTAGTTGGCGCAATTAATAATTTCGGTAATTAAACAATATTTCTATTTTATCACTTGCTTTTTTAGAAACTCTTGTTTTGATTTAACTAGAAAATCTCATTAAAAGTAGTTAAAATATTTATACATTTAAGTCCAAGTATTTTCGCTTTATTACGCTATTCTACATTACCGAGTGATCTGGAAACTGAACAAGGTGAAGCTGTCTGTTGTCTTGCACTAGTGTGTCGATTAGCAGAAGGTAGGGCCTAATAAAGTAAACTCCTACCGAATGGAGTAAGACTTTCACTGCAAACAGTCAACCAAATAAAGTTCTGGAAACAAGACGTCCAAACTACAGAGGGCTCTCATGCCAATAGATTTTAATAATTGAATCAAAGTAGGCTTAGCCTAGGGTTGCTTGGTAAAATCCAAACAATCGGAAGTGTTCTCAAGATGTTCATTCGATTTTAGCGTTTCTGACGAAATATCAAACGTAATTGCATAAGCCGTACATTACGCTATACCAAAAAAAAAAAAGGGTTCTAGATGAGAAAGTTGTATTTCTTTCTGTGCCCGTGATAATGCAGATATGCTACATAAATATGAGAAGTGTTTCTTTCTGACATTTTTTTCTCAGGGAAGGGGCTGCACTTAAATTTCCTCGGGGGAGGGGGTGGCTGACATTGGTTAAAGCATATTTTTTTCTATATAAAAATATTTTTTCTCAATTGCCTTCGGGGTAGAGGGCGGTGGGCTTTCTTTGGAAAAATGCCTGAAAGAAACTCTGAATATGAGCAGAGTAGACGAATGAAATATTGTCTCCGAAAAACACCATGAAAGTAATAGACTAGACAAGACTAGTTAGTCGTAGGGTTATAATACCGAACTTTTCTTCTGGAAAATAGAGAGGTAGCCCTAGATGTTAGGAAGATTTAACTTTATTGTGTAGCTTTCTAAGTATACGATCATAAGCATTATTAGAAAGCACCCACCCACTCCCACCACCCAAAGCATGTCTATAATACGCTTAAAAGTTTTCCAGGAAATTAACATGGTGCTTTCCCCAACCGCGCATAGAAGATGAAAAAAAAAAGTAAAATTGCTGTACTGTCGGTATGGATCGGTCTATTGGGTGATGAAGAGGTCTGAAAGGTACCAAATGAGGGGAAGGTGGTAAATTAAACTTCTAAAGACGCAATTCAAGCTTTATTACCTTTTATTACCTATTAATAATAGGGGTAATCCATAAAGGATGTAACGCCAGACCCCGTACCATTAAAAAAAAAGAAGTCACAAGCCAACTAAAAATTGCAGATGAACTTTTTTCAAAACAACATTCTTTTTCTAAAATATTGACTGAGCTCGGTCAAAATGCTATAGAGAATTTTAATCAATTTCAATTTATTAACACAGTTTTTAAAACGTGAAATAACGGCTAATATATTCGCTTTCGGACATTCCTTTAATTTAAAAGTGTGACGTAATACTATCTGACCATCCCCCCCCCCCCATCACACATCGGCACAAAATTACGGACCCCCCCTACCAGTGTGACGTCATTTATGGACGACCTCTGTATGGCCAGGTTTGGGGTTGAGTAGTAACAAGTAGCTAATAGTTTCCCCGGTAGGGCCGCAATCTATATATATAATTCTCTTCTGGGAGACGCTAGAAAACAAGCTGCAAACGCGCTCCCTACTATCCCCAACCCTACATGGTTTGATGAGCTGTGGTTCACTCTAAATGTTTACAAACAGATCCGGGTTTAGTGACGTCTATTAGGGGCAGATAATTTAGTTTGAAATGATTTTAAACTTAGGGGAGGGGGTAACTAAGTGGAGTTTACTTTAATGGAGGGTGGGGGTAAGGAGGGGGAGGGGGTTATCGTCCTTAACGAGCTACTTATAGTGTTTTAAAGAAATATTTTCAGTGGCAGCGTTGGTAGTGTCGAATTCACAAATTTTGAATAACTGAAAAGTAGAAAAAAACAACAACTAAATAGCGGCGTATGATATGCCGCGGGTCGGCTCGTACAATATAGTATAGCGATGAGCTGTTGGAAACTAGCCGAACAAAAGCCAATAGAACTTGATGTAGTTTTGAAGCCATTCATTTTCTAGTATCGCGACCGTAACTCAAACCCTATAGCCCAGCCCTGGCCCTCCCAGCAATACCACCAGCAGTATATCCATCATGAGACAACAAACCACACAGAGATAGGCTCGAACTTATTTCATTCTGGCTTGGAATAATCAAGTTTTGAAATTTCTTATTTACGCCCAACGAAAATTATGAATAGTGTTCCTTCTTATTTGGCAAGTCGGTCAAAGACTATGAATCATGGAAACTTGATATGTGTAATGGTTTCCCACGTTTTTTTTTTTGTTTTGTTTTTTTCATTTATTCTGTTAGTTTGGGATTAATTTCTTTTTATAGCTTAGTCGTTTTTAGTTTAAATTCGCTTAGTAAAAAACTATTTTAATTAGTTTTATCGGCACCCCGATTCGAATATTTAAAGGAGAGAATAGGGGTCATCCATAAATGACGTCACGCTTTTTTTGACGATTTTTACCTCCCCCCTTCCCCTCCGTCACACTTCGTCACAAAAAGCCAGACCCCCCCCCCTAAAATGACGTCACACCTCAACCTACAACCCCCCTCAAAATTGCAGTTGAATTTTTTTTAAACATTAATATTTTTCCAAAATCTTGTCTAAACTATTACAATTTATTAAAACAGTTATCTAAAACGCGAAATAACGTCTAAAATTCGTTTTCTAACATTGCTTTTTTATAATGCAAAAATGTGACGTCGCAACATCTGACCCCCCCCCCTCCCCCTCATCACACATCGTCACAAAATTACGGACCCCCCTCCCCCCTACGAGTGTGACGTCATTTATGGATGACCCCATACTGAACAAGTCATGGAAGTGGTTTTAAGATTTGCCTATTTTTCATACTACAACTTATGTAGTGGTTTATTTTCTCTATTATCGTTTACTTTTTTTGTTTTTTTTCATAAACACTAGTCTATCATTACTATCAAGGAGCAAAAAAACTTTTTTAGTCGGATTTTGCCCCCCCCCCCCTCCCTTAACGGCCTGCGTTGTGCGCCGACCCAGAAAGGGCGCACACGTGATAGGTAATAATATAAAGAGCTCATTACTGAATTATATACAGTCGAAATAAAGAATGTGGGCTGCTACTTGGCATTACAGACTAATTTAATTGTTTTCTACATTAATTGTGTGACAAAAAAATAATAAAGCGGGAGTGACCCCCCCCCCCTAAACTTTCTAGAATATTCTTATACAACCCTACGAAATTTTGAAAATCTGGATTTATAATTTTTCCCCGATTAAAATAAGTACATATACTCCTCATATGATGAAGTACTGAGAAGTAAAACGATGTAAACTGTCAAAATTTCACGTGATTTTTGTGCACAATTGCAATACTTCCTCTGTACTCTGTATACGAGAACGTAAAAAGGCAAAGTGACTGTTAAAAACAGAGTTTCTTCCAGGCATCTCTTGCCCCCCCTCCCCCCTGAAGAAAGTATAGCGCCCCACCCCCCCCCCCCCCGAACGAAATGGAATTTATATAGGGGTCATCCATAAATGACGTCACGCTTTTTTGGACGATTTTTACCTCCCCACCTCCCTTCCGTCACACGACTACTAGACATTACCCCCCCCCCGGAACTTTCCTCCCCCCCCCGTATTTACCCCCGGAGCAATTACCCCCCTGTCAATAACCCCCCCCCTGCTCAAGTTAGAATCCTAACTCTAAATAGAATTCTATACCTATATACTACTTTAATCCAAACCTTAAGAAAAAGACCGAAACCTAAGCATCCACCTTAGCCTAAAACCTCACACAAAACCAAAACCAACGCTAGACATTGGTTTAAGCCTAACCCTAACCCTAACCGTAACCCTAACTCTAACCCTGTCCGGGGGGGGGGGGGTAATGTCCTACTGGGCGGGGGGGGGGGGGTAATTGACAGGGGGTAATTGACAGGGGGGGCAATTACTCCGGGGGGTAATGTCGGGGAGGGGGGAATGTTCGGGGGGGGGGGGGTAATTGACAGGGGGAAATGTCCTGTTCCCCGTCACACATCGTCACAAAAAGCCACCCCCCCTAAAATGACGTCACACCTCAGCCTACAACCCCCCTCAAAAATGCAGTTGAATTTTTCTTAAAACATCGATATTTTTCCAAAATCTTGTCTGAACTATGTCAACATAGAGTATTTTAATTAATTACTATTACAATTTATTAAAACAGTTTTCTAAAACACGAAAAAACGGCTAAAATTCGTTTTCTAACATTGCTTTTTTATAATGCAAAAGTGTGACCATCTGACCCCACCCACCCCCTCATCACACACCGTCACATAATGATCTCCTCATTTAATTTTTTGGTATACGCCCCTAGTATTCCTATTTTTTGAGTGCGTCCACTGAATCTTGGGGCAAAATAGTCATATTTTAATTTTTCCCGGTAGTTAAGTTTGGGTACATTTTACTTTTTAGTAGATTCTAGAATCTAGACCAGGGGTTCCCAACCCCGTGCTCGCGGGCGCCCAACGAACTATTCGTATGTGCCCGCCTCTCACTATTCGACAGAGACAGAATTTATTTCATAAACATTATTGAAAGGTTGAAGGGGATGGAAATCGAAAGTTTGAGGGGGGGGGGGGGTGCAAATCGAAAGTTTTGTCCCCGGGTAACGGGAAGGGTCGCACGCCTCTGGAAGGAGTTTGTCGATTTTAAATAGGTGGTGCCCGCCACCCTACCGATATTTTAGAATGTGCTCTAGAGTAAAAAAAAGTTTGAGAACCCCTGATCTAGACAGAGTTTCTTCCAGGCATCTCTTCGGGGGGGGGGGGGGGGGAGGGGGGGGGGGGGCTAGACTGTTTTGCTACCATATCACAGTAATCTAATAGGTGTAATAGTGTAATGAACTGTAATGTTGAGCAAGGAGTGATCTTTAGAACCAGATTATTTTATATCTATTTAAAAATATACTAATATCTAGAATATAATGTATACTTAACATATACATTCTTTAGAAGTTAGATCTCTAGATCTCGATTCTACAGATCTAAAATAAATTAAATAAATAAGATCCAACTCATTGAACTCTAAAAGTAAAGTAACCGAATCGGAATAAATATTTAAACGTCGTTTAACAAAATTAGAAGTATTACTTTACTTTAAATGGTAACGAACGGGCACTAAAGCTTTTAGTCTTGAGGTGGAAATTTTGGTAAAAACATTAAGTTTTCTTTGATTATCTTCAAATTTTCATGCCAGGTTCCTAACGGTCCTACTATTAGCCTCTCTATAGTAGCCTATAGTGATTGTCTATGACTTATATTTTATCATAATAATGCTAGTTATTTCCCTTGTTGGTGGATATCAACGCTGTTTAAAAAGTACTTCCAAAAAATTGATGGAATAAGAATATTTTTGACCAATAGAAACAGGTTTTAAATTTCTCTATATGATAGTAGCCAATGAAATGGACTGTAATACTCGAGTCTATTAATTTGCATAGCCTCGTCGCGCAAAAAACCTTGCGCGACTTTCTGCAATCGCTCCTTCAGCATTTGACGTCATGTCGGTGGAGAGACTTCCCAGATGCCTGTGCGTCGACGGAAAACTTTTCAATACATGGACGACGACCGCCATTCGGGTGGGCAAACGTCGCGTATTGAGCGGGCAAAAAAAGGCGAATTTGGGTGATTTTGGCTAGCCTGATGACCCTTACTCCTGCCCAAATCAAAGATAAGCTGACGAAGGCTCTAGATGGCGATAAAAATGTAAGTTTCACGCAGAACTTAAGCTGAAACAAATTAAATCAGCTGTAACCACTGCTCGGTCTATCACAGCAGTACACAGCCATAACCCGTGGTGGTAGATAGCAGTTCTCGAGCACTTAAAGGACAGTTTTTGCTAAGTCCCAAATTTCCATTTACATCGGAACTTATTAGATCTATTGGAGTCTATAATTTATAGATATAGTTCTATGGTTGTTGCAATATGTAGCAATATTATTAAATTGTAATAATTCTTAAATCGGTAATCTATCGTTTTAGATTCGGCTGCAGTAGTAATGTGCGGGAGAGGTAGCTGATGAATATATTTGTTTAAATAAGTTTATTTAAGTCAAATTTTACAAAATATCACAGATAATTGATTTAAAATAACAAACAGTGACCAAAACAATTTAAATAACATGAAACTAACTTTAAACTACGTGTTTGAGATAAATATTAGTTGAAAACAAACAGCGGCCATCTTTCCAAATAAAATTTAGAGTAGTTTCTAGGCCGGATTGTTGCTTATATGGCTGGATTGACCTCTGACCCTGAAACGTCACGCGTCGTTTTTTGACGGTTTTTACGTTTATTTTAGGGGTCCTATCCACGACAAATGAAAAAACTGCTAATATCGCAAATTCTCATCATTATTTTAATGCGATATGCTAAATAAATGGACGCCATGCCTGAAAATAACCGAAAAAATCGCCAGATACGTGGTTTTAATTAATACACGCTATTCTTGTCAAGTACTCTTGGGAAAAACTGAACTGCCGCCTTAAACGGCCCAGTACATGGTCGAAACCCCCTGGTACAAATGCAGAAATATATAATTGAGATATTTATAATGAGTAATTACAGTTATGTTGATTCGCCTTTTTTATATCGAATTTCCATATGAGGTACCCATGCAGACATTTCTGTCCGCTTTGTTTACTATCGTGACGTCATTGTTACGCTAGTTACCTCACAGAAACAACTCGTTTTTGTTTTTTGCGGAATGAACTGTTAAGTCTAGTATTTTAATTATAATTCAATTGTAGCGTGTGCAGAAAAAGTAAAATTATGGAAATTATTTTTGTATTAGTAATTTTATTAGTATATTGATTTTTTCTTCACTGTGGGCCGACAGTAGCTGCATTGAATTTAATTCGTGACCGGTGGTTAACCTCGTCAACGCTGCGTGGCCTATTCGTTTATATAATTAGTGATGCTCGTTCAGTGGCCTTTTTCAGAGCTAGGCCTAATTACGGGCGTTTTTTAGACTTAATTGATCGGCCGTTAGCCCTTTTCATTGCTGCGTATTTTAAAAAATGCTCGTTCAGCGGCCTTTTTTTTTTTTTTTTGGCGCTAAATAATCTGTTTACGGGCATTTTAAGCGTTTATTTATTTTTTTAAGCTAGACGTAGATCTAGTTTAAAAAATATTTTTTAATACAGCTGGCTGCAGGGGGGGGGGGGTGCAAATCGAAAGTTTGAGGGGGTGGGTGCAAATCGAAAGTTTGAGGGGGGGTGCAAATCGAAAACTTGAGGGGGGGTGCAAATCAAAAATTTGAAAGAAAGTTTGTCCCCGGGAAGAGTCGCTACGCCTTTGGGGGGGGGGGGGGGGGCTGACACCATTAAGTGCCGCACCGGGTGACACCCGACCTCGCTACGCCACTGGCTGGCTGTCTTGCATGCCTGATATGTGAACTTAAAAAAAAAATGACCGAACTTTTAAAAAAAATGACCAGAAGTAGGGAAGTAGGTCTGTTTTTCAACTGGCTAGAGGTGGGGGGGGGAAAGAGAGAGAGAAGTGAAGACACCGACCATCTCGTGTACGCGTGTTCATGCTATGACGTGTACTATAGGCCTGCTGAACTCACGGTGACCCGCGACCGTGGTGGGATTTTTCATCCACAGGATAGTAAACGTAAGCAAGCAATCACGCGAGTGACGATGTTTGGAGATTTAAAAAAAAAAAAAAATCACATACGTCATGTTTTCAAGATGAAAAAAAATGTAATGTAAAAAAAAAAAAAATACCATGTATGAACCTCAGCTGCCACACTGTTGACTCAATATAATGTGAATTGAGTGTAAAATGTATTTGTATTTATAAACGATCATAACTGTTACTATCATATTATTTTAAGCATATTTATTATTTATTATTTAAAATTAGAATTTGAAATAAAAATATTTATTATGGTCATTTGATTTATGCAGGTGTTCATTACTTCATAAAATGGTATGAATAACATGTAGAGTAGAATTTAATAAATAATAAAATAACTAGATCTAGTTTTATTATCAACCAGTTGCTTTTTGTTATTTTCCGGTGAGTAAATTACCTAAGCTGACGCAATTACCATGGCGGGAATTAAAAGCTCGTGTACACAAGTCGACGGCGTCATGTTATGCCAAGAACGCTGTTTTGTCATTCATTTTCAATTTTGATTAATTTTCAAATTCTCTCTTTTCTCGTCAACCGAGTAAGCTAGATATTTAAATGTGGTGTCAAATGTTCTCTTAAGGGGTAAGGAACTTAATGGTGTATTTGAAATAACAGAATATTTTATTTTAAAAAATCCATAATTTAACCTAGTAGTTTCCCTGGATAAAAATGTCTATTCGTATGTATATTGTGTTGACTTTGTTGTTAAATATACATACCTGTATTGTTTAATATAAGTAAGACAGAGGGCCGTCTTCTTATCTTTAATTTCATTTTCAAGTGAAATGAAGGCTATGTAGCCTATGTATGTGCACCCAAGATCTCAAAAAATTTTGGGAGGTCCAACATTTACTAAACCCTTTTGTACTGATTAGGGGTCGTCCATAAATGACATCACAATCGTAGGGGGGAGGGGGAGGTCGGTAATTTTGTGACGATGTGTGATGAGGGGGAGGGGGGGGGGGGGTCAGATGCGCGACGTCACACTTGCTTTATAGATAAGAAATGTTAGAAAACGAATTTTAGACATTATTTAGCTTTTTAGAAAACAGTTTTAATAAATTATAATAGGAATTGATTAAAATACTATATTTTGACATATTTCATGGAAAAATATCGATGTTTAAATAAAAATCAACTGCAATTTTGAGGGGGGGGGGGGTTGTAGGCTGATGTGTGACGTCATTTTAGGGGGGGGGTCTGGCTTTTTGTGACGACGTGTGACGGAGGGGAGGAGGGGAGGTAAAAATCGTCAAAAAAAAAACGTGACGTTATTTATGGATGACCCCTTAACTTGTCAATTATTAGGTCGTCCATATTCCTCATAAATGACGTTGGACTCAAAATATGGGACGGTGTAAAAAATTTTTCAAAAATGATGAAGAATATATTCGTTTTCGTTAGAAATTGTAATTAAGGGTTCGGGTATAGTAGAACTGCGATATGATATTAAATTATCATCTTGCTTTTAGTAACTATTGGATGAGAGGGAAATTGTCGGGAAAAGTATGACGTCATTTATGGGCGATCCATTTAATAAAGCCTAGTTGTTTATTTTGTCTGTAGACATTAGTCTTAGGCCTACACTTTTTCCGAATTAAGATTATTGTGTTTTTTAAAATATGTTCAAATTTTAATTAGTTACATTTGAATACCACATAATTTGTTGTTGTTTTTTTCTTTGCCTTCTGCTGTCATCAGTTTTTGATTTCTTCAGTAGTCAATGTTTACCCCTCCCCACCATCCATTATTACAACAACAAAAAAACACCCACTATATATCTCATAGCGTAGATATATAGAATTAGACTAGACGAGTAGAGGTTACTAAGGACGGTACGAACTTGATGGTAGACGATTTGGTGCGAGAGTATTGTGCGCGTGTTCAATAAAATATGTGTGGCGTGAGTGTGACGTGAGCATGGTGCGACAATGTACCGATGACGTAAGACGCAGCAGTGAAGTTAGTTGGGGGTTAGATATAGTAGAAGACGGACGTATTATTTGATATTGTGAAAATGATCTATAAGTGTGTGTTAATTAAGTTCATGTTATTTCATAAACTAAGTGTCTGCGGAACATAAGAGTGATTCCCGTCCTCCTCACGAGTATCAGTATAATAGTTGCCGTATGAATAGTAGTAGATCAGAATATATTGAGATTATATATAAACCGCCCATCACAATATAGTGATATCTCCCTCTAGAAAAAAACTAGATCAACGTATAGTTCGTAGGAAAATCAGAATCTATCACTTATTCGTCTGTTAAAAAAAAAGAAATACGTCATTTTTCTCAACCACGCCGTTTCATCCCCCACTAAGCACAACGTCACAAAGTTCGCGGCGCGCGTGACGTCATTTGTCATTAGGCTAATGTTTAAGAAAGATACCGCGTAATTAAAAAAAAAAAATTAAAAAAGGCACTAAGGCGATGAGACTTTAACGACGTTTAGTCTGACGAATAGATCTAAATAACTTTAGTTCGGTAAATTATATTGGTGTTTAATTTATTACAGTGGCATGATGTTCTCCCTCTACTATACAAATTCACGTGCTTTTAATTTCTGCAACCTGCTGCCCTGAGACGTTCGGCTCTAAAATGCCCGTGACACAGCGGCTTCGGTAAATGCATTTAGGCTCCCGGTCCCACCTATAAACGTCTGTCCATTAAGCTCCACGCAAAACGTGTGATTAATATGTGGACATAAGCGGCGCTAGTGGTGGTGTCAACAGGGGCCAAGCTCATGTCTTAAAGGTGCTCCGCACTTCATAAAAGACAAAATTGATGTTCAGATATCGTCGGACTCTGGCGTTTTGCCGACGGCCGTACTCCTAATGCACAGTCTTAGAGGCTGTCCACTGCTAACAATATTTTATGTTAAATTCAAGCCTATACTGAGCTGTGGCTTTACATTAGCTAAGTGACGTAGCGAGGTCGAGTGTCACCCCCCAGAGGCGACAAATTTCAATTTTCGATTTGTCCCATTTTACCTGCTAGTCAATAATTGTCTTGGAATCTTGTCGAATATTTGAGCCTTGTTGTCAGAAGTTATTTCATTTGGAGT